TTATGCAGATAAAGGGATTAAATCAGAGTGTAGAAGCAAGTATCAATCGTGTTTTGGGAGATAATAGAAGGTTTAAAGCATAAAATAATAAATGAACACAGGCTGTGGACAGCTCTCTCTTCTTCTTTCTTTTGCTTTCAGATTAGAAAATATATCAACTTTGTCGCTCAAAAAGATATTTTTCCGTTGCTCCTTTTTATTCATTTGGAAAATTTATAAGAATCTTGCTCTTTTCAAGTATATTTGCCCAAATGAATAGCATAGTGGCTGAGCATTGAAAACTATAGAGTAATTCAAAAGTTCCGCAACCCCCAATTTGAAAATGCTTTAAAATACGTATATTGTACGGATAATATTAGATTGTACTAATAATGGAAGCCACCATGAATGAAGGTAAATATATACCTACCACATCATGTGAATCTCGTTTACCATTTTTATAGCCTTAAGTCACGAACCTGCAAATTTCCCCTCAAATATATACAGTCAGCTTTCACTATGGGAAAAGACGTTAACTAAAAGCCGTTTCAAACAACCAATGAGAAATTTTACAGGTCATATCCCAAACATATGGTCATATCCAAGAACATGTAAAATGTCAAAAGTTCCCAAGATGTTAGTTATTTTGTTTTCCAGAAACGTTGTATAGATGATTATAAGCATTTAGTACAAACATCAGTCTGTCTGACGGTTTCGAAAACTGAGGATTCTTCGAAAAATATCTATCACTTCTTGCATATTTGGCAAAAAAGTCATTTCATAAAATTTCCTAACAGATGGTATATTTACGAATGAGTGCAAGTTCTTGAGTGAAAATGCATCTTTCGCAAAATATGGCCAATTAAATCACCTGGCATTCCATTCCAAATTTTTAATATTAGGTTCATCTGAAAGTTAATGCTTCCAAGAACATTTGGTGCACTTGACAAAAATAAGACAATAAAATCTAGAATTATGTCTCTAGCACTAATGCATAATCATTCATTAGCTTTTAAGTCGATCAGTTTGGAACACGTACTGCAGTGGCAGATGTTCCAGCATGTATTATAATAGCATAAATTTTTCTCATAGTATACGCCATATAAATATATGTATGTAAATATTTAGTTTTTCAGTAGTTCTGTAAAATAAAGTGTTGATAAGAGCTGTTTAGTAATGGGTTGCGTAACATCTGGGTCATTCTATATCGCCTGAAGAGAAACAGCTGGAAGCTAGAATTTCTGAAAACATGTTATAATTTTACAGCGTAAAGAAATAAGCAAAGAAAGAAATGATAAAATAAAAAGAGAAAATTATACAAATTTTTAAAAAGGACTAGAACAGTGATTCCCAACCAAAGACTAAAAAGCTTCAGAGTTGATATGATGCATGTAGAACGATGAGAAGAGGTTATTTATGAATTATTAATGAATATGAGGGGGTTATTGTTAAATTAATAAAGGTTTTTCATAAAATAACAAATTACAATTGCATTTTTAATTATGAAATGAATGTTAATGTTATTTTCTTTACTGCAGTTCAAAGTTGAGCAGTAAAAAATGAAGAAATTCAACAAATACCATTTTAGGGAAAGTACTATTGCCACAGAGAGACTAAAACAGTAACATTAGAAATGTTAATCAGCATGAAAAGAAATTCGGCGAATTTTTAGGTAAATACCTCATCGGTGAACTTAATTTCATGCTGATCTTAAAAATACTTAAAACAAAAAGAAAGAGCTCAATCATTCATTTTCATATAAAATTAAAAGCACCTAAAACGTGTTAAAATCTCTAAACATCATGAGGGTTCACCTTTAACATTTTCCCATTTACTTAATGCGACAAAATATTTCCTAGCAAGAAATTTTACTAATTAATAATTGAAATAGGATTTTAGAATGATTACCCAAGGCAGTGTATAACGTATGAAAAATAAGCCTTAAGGCATTTTATGATCAAAGAATGCTAAAGAAACGCTTAGGAAAGGATACATCTTATAACGAATTTGAATTTTTGTATATTATCAGATTTGCTTTAATTGGAAAAAATGTATTTAATACATTTTAGTCTTTATTTCGTTAAAAATACGTATTATATGATGATGAATACTTTAAATCTATTACATTGTGATGAATGCTTTAATCTGGTACAAATACGTATATGTGCTCATCTGGAAATGATGTCTTTTAATCACCATACGAAAGCCAGGACAGTCGCATCCTAATTATAAATTTAATATTAGCTATTATTATTTAGCGCTTAAGTAATACTACGGATTTTGAATATATGTAAATAATTTTATTGAAATTATTCGTGAAAATGGAGTATTTCTTATATAATGTAACATGAATCAATTGAAAAGGCGAAGATCTCCCGGAAAAACAAGGTTATAGGGACAAGTCTATTTAAAATTGAGATAAATGGCTGTCTCGCTAAGCTGTTAACGGGTTTGGCGACATTTTGGTCCAGTCCCTGTATCACTGTAATTGAATAACTATAACTGATCCCTATATGTAACTGTAACCATATCCAACCCTTATATGTAACTTTAACTGTATATGCCTTCCAGTTATTTCGAGAAATGGAAGGTACTAGAGATTTCTCGGCGGCGGGGTAGATATGTAAAACCCGAGAGAGCACCAGCTCTCAAGTTTTCAGTTCAGAGTTGACTTCGGAGTATTGAGATTTTAAAGCGAGCTTCGCTTTGCATTGCGTTGTGTTTAACGTTCTTAGCAGTTTGAAATTGTAACTACTGTGTGTTCGCTGCCATAATGAGAACAGCTGTACATTTGTGGAAAGTTCCAGAACTGTAAAGCATTTCTTTTGGAAAAATAAATTTTATCAAGCTATCATCGGTCCTGTGTGCATTCAATCCATTAAGAACCTGTACACACGCAATATTATTTCTGACTATGCAATAAAATGACCGAAATTTTTGCAAAACCGTCGTTTCCCATGCAAAATTCGTTTGTTTCCCTTTTTATCATAGTTGGCTATTAATAACAATATTTGAATGTTTTACTGTCCAAAACGTTTGCGAACAGAATCAAATGATAAATGCAAACGTGCTTTGAATATAGAACGAACATGGATTTACGTAGCTATTACATTATTATAGCTGCTTATTTTTACGGTTGGTAATGTAAAGTATAGTCCGATATGCATAATATCTCAGATTGTTGTTTCATTATTTAGAGTTTCATTTATACATACTTATTTAGGATTTTTTACTTGTTAATTTATTCTTCGGACATAAAAATTTAAGTTACACCTTAATTAATTACATATTCTTTTGTGGACTATTTTTAGAGGAACTAAATAATAAATTTCATGACTTGCAATTAGTTTGTATAATACGTGTTTACATAAAAAATATTAAGCATTAAAATGACGAATAAAAACCTAATGCAAGAATTTTTAGTAAGCTATAATAAATGATAATATACACTGAAATAGTTCCGAAAGTTTCTACTGTATGCAAAGGTGTTATAAAAGTAACTAATAAAACTTTCCAAAATCGGGTAATAATTATTTTTAAGGGCGTTTCCTATATTTCAAACATGGTATGTTTAAAGAACTATGAACCGAGTAATATTTTGAGAAAATATTTAGTTCCAATAAATACTGGTGGATTTAATTTTCCATTAAATTGCATTTAGTGCTCTAGTTCTAGTTCTGTAAGCAAAAGTTTTCGTAATTGGTAAATTTTATATTTATGAAACATTCAAAAACAACATTAGTATGTAATTATAAAGGAATATTTTGGTAAAAATCATCGTAAAATTAAATTAAAACAAAGTAATTTTTGTTAAAAAAATTCTAAATGAATTTACATTTGCTCTTTTCGTCCCCATATTCACCATAAGAACAGAAACTTGCATAGAAAGTTTTTGAATTTTGTTATGAAAAGTCGCTTTCTGATTGAAATATTCCCTAATTTCTGCCCAAAAGCTCAGTATATATTTTTAACTTCTGAGTGAAGTACAGTTAAGGCAGAGGGGAAACGTCCTACGAAGAACTGTGTAATGTTTTGGGACTCTCCTAAGAGTCTTAGTTGTGTAGGTACTAGGGCTTACTTCTATGAATACCTGCGCAAATATCCAGAGGATACATTATGGAAAATATTTGAGTCTAAATAGTATACACCAGCGATTCTCAACCTGTGGTACGCAAGAGAAAAAAGAAACGCAAAGAAACAAATTATTTTTAACTATCAAATTAAAAAATCTCATGAAGAAAAAGAACAATTGATAGAAATTTCCTGTGAAGATTTGAAAAATAATACACTTGTTAACTTTTGGCTGAACCGAAAAAAAGAATTTAAAGGCATTTCAAATAAAATTATTACATTTTTATTTCCTTTTTGCACAATCTATTTATGTGAAAAAGGATTTTCTTCCATGTTATCTTTGAAAACTAAATACAGAACAAAATTAAAAGTGGATTCTAATTTACGATTAAAACTAAGTGAAATAAGACCAGACATAAAGAAACTGATCTCTCTTAAACAGGCACAAATTTCACACTAAATTTTAGAATTAAAGAATTATACCTTAAATTTTGATAATTAAAATTGTAACCAATTTTTAATCTGATAATTTTTATGTGTGCTTATGTAATACATATAGCCAATAGGTTGTGCAAATGGCAAAATATATTTTTTTTAATATTTCGATTAAGAATTTGAAAAATAATCATTGTAAAATGTAGTGGTGGTACTAAAGTAGTCAAATGGTCAAGAACCGCTGGTATGTATACACTGATATCGGAAGCGAAAACTAAGCTTAAAAAATATAAATAATGTACCTTATTATTGAAACGGAAATAAATATTTCATTTTAACACTAATTTTTAATATGGTTGAGTCTGAAATTTATACTCCAAACAACTTATTCATCTAACACTGCAAATGATATGACTTTCTAAATTAAAGGTAAACCCTCAATAAGAAAAATGTTTTCAGCATCCTACCACGCTTCTTTTTAAAAATAAATGAATATAAGTGACACTACAAACAAGAATAGGAAAAGCTACACAGAGTTTTTATTGAGAAAATTATAACGGGGGGAAACAAACTCACTTAAAAACCTAACCAGCAAACAAGCAAAAAATCATAAACAACACTTGTGAACTTGTCTTAGGTTGGCGACCACTGGTCTAGTTGATTGCTAAATCTAATTATCGGCATATATCTTCCTTAAGGATTCTGCACCCCTCACCTTAGAAAAATGTGGTGGCTTAACTTCGGCCCCAACGACGGGCTCTTCTTCAATGACGACTTCTTTTTTAGGCCTAGGTTCGCTTCCACTTTCTTTTTTAATAATAGGTTTGGGTAGGGATTTAGAACTTTCGTCTAAGGATGAAATTGTCTCGGACTTGTGCTCCAAAACAACTTCGTATTTCTTGGTGATCGAAATTTCTTCGGTGGAATAAGACGTCCGCGTAGTGGTGGATGATTCCGTCGTATAGAACGAAGTTGGCGTTGAAGAGGTTTGACAAGATGTTGTCGATATTGAAGTACTTTTAGCATCAGTGGAGGAAAATTTACTTTCAGATGCTGTAGTTCCAGTTGACATAAATTTAGTTTCTGTAGTACTATGAAATGGTTCAGTTCCTGTTGTTACTTCAGCTTTCCGCAACATGCTAAATTCTGAAACACTCTGCAAAGGTTTTATGGGTGTCTTCAATGTATCAACAACTGTCGACGGTGGTTCAACTTTCCGCCACGGAACTTTTGGCTTTTCTTCTTTTTGAGGGCTCCATATCGGTACTAAACTTTTTTGTGGTTTTTCTTGTGCAGTCTGAGGTGCAGCAATAGGTTTAGGAGTAAATTTCTTTGTTGGAGTAAAGTGAGAAGCTATGGGTGTTGAAACGAACCCTGTTGACGATACAGACCTCGATTCAGAAATGAATGTACTTTGTTTAGAAAAGGAACTTGTTGGCCCGAAATTTACATCTATACCATTCTGAACAATTGGCTGTTGCGTCTGAGTTTTAGGTGCTAATTTATTTTGATCAGTTTCAGTCTGTTTCTTCACATCCTGCTTAGAGAACTTTTCGATGGACTGTTTCACGAAGCTTTCTGAGAGAGTTGGCTTCAGAATGTCAGGCGGAGGCACAAAATTTGACTCAGTAATCGTCAGTGGTACTTCCTTTTCTTCTTCAATGGGTTCAGGTGATGGAATAGGTTCTGGTTCTGGTGCTTCAGTTATAGCTGGTGCAGGAAAAGGTTCTGGTTTGTCTTGAGTCCACACTTTAGACGTTACCGCTGGCATCGGAGGAGGAGAAGGTGGCAGCTTAACGTCAGTAGATGGCAACTTGACCTCAGCCAACGGTTTTGAAACACTAGGATGAGTCGGAAACGGTTGCACCGCTTCTGTTTGATTGATAGAAATCTTAGTGAACATCTATAAAGAAAAATAGTAAATTAAAATAAATTAATTAATAAATATAAATTAGAAACTAATAAATTAAACTCGTTAAAGAAAGTAATTAAATAAATATAAATTTCCAAATGCTTTTATAATTAAGGACATACCACTTTGTTCATTGTAATAATATTAGGATTCAGAAAACTAAAAAGATAAAGCAGTAATAGCTTAAATAACAAATGATCTACATTAATAAAATTTAATGGTAATGACAATGGCTATCAAGCTTCATGCAAATAATAAAAAAGCTATTTATATTCTGCTTCATTTGATCATAACGTCTTTGAAGCTAGTTTTACGTTATCAAAAGAAGTTCACATATGTTAACTATAATATTCTAAGCAAAAAATTAATAATTTTACAGAAAATTCTAATTACACATTGAATTAAAGGTTTCTGAGGAAAGGGCTTAAAATTTTAACAAATTTGACATTTTAACAAATTTTAACTTTTTTGGGGTACTAAGTAAATTTTTATTTTTCCACGAAAGTGTACTTTCATGATTAACGCAATATTAAAAGCCAAATATTTTAAATAATTTTTATTCGCTTTGTAGCACACTAAAAGCTTATAATATCATTTCAGTTAGTGTTTTTATATACTTTTAAAGTTACAGTAAAACTATTATATGTTATAAAGAAGCACACAGAGAATTTATGTAATCTAAAGTTACTGAAAAAAATAATTGTAACTGAAATATTTCGTTAATAGGCGCACGTCTAGGTATAAACATTTAGTAGAGTAGAAAAATTACTCCCAAATAAATTTTAAATGAAATAAATTACTTCTCTCTTTTGATGCATGCTGATATAGGACTCCTCCACAGGGCTTTTGTCTTCCTCCACAACCAGATCGGCCAGACTTCTGGCTTCTCCAGCCACGTTACTGGCCACGATCATATAGCTTCCAGAATCGTCTGGAAATACCTATGAAATGAAACGTGATACATTATTTTGAGATAATAACTGATAACTTAAATGTATATGATAAAATCTCTCTTTTTAAATCGTCCGTTTTTTTAAAGAACCATACCAGACTCTCATTCTTGCTTGGTCATCATGTTCTTCTTCTTCTTTTTTTTTTTTTTTTTGTTTTTTTTTTGTTTTGTATCCTTTGATTTAAAGCAAATCTAATATCTTTTATCGAATCAATCGGAAGTTCCTTGTTAAAGCTATAACATGCAAATTTCAAATGTCGCTATGCAGTGTGCATTTTAGAAGGAAGTACCATTCAGAGACTGACGTCTATAGAAGTAGATCTTTGGTTACAAACATTATTCACATAAATTTACTCGTTTCCTTCCCCCTTTTTTTACTTCCTTGTACGAAGTAAAGGAATTATTGTAATCGCGAAAAATTTCGGGTAGCATATTTCAACGAAAATATCCATTTTGACTGCTCTCGAATCCATTTGAATGATTTTTTATAGCTATTAGTTAAGAACGTCAACACAACCATTAATAACTAACTTAATTTTACACATTTAAAATACTTTTAAAACAAAATGTGCTAAAAGTATTAATAATTTTAAATTTTAAATAGTGTACAATTTTGAAACAGTTGACATAAATATAGAATTTCAAAGATACATTAATGCTAACAGTTTTGAGAGATCTGAGAGAACAAATAATTACTTGAAAATTTTATATAAGGGTTTACGTAGCGATGAAAGACAACTATCGCATCAACTGCAAATCGCACATTTCTGACGAGCAAAACTGCAACAAAAGCAAGAAAGAAGTAAACCAACAATACCGAACAAAGTTTCTTTATTTACAAATATGTCCATTAATTCAGAACGTAGGGAAAAAAAACTATTTGAAATTCAAAAAGCCAAGATTCGACATCGAATTAACGTTGGTTTGAAAAGATAGTTTGGGTTAACGGATTAAGGCCGTATTAGGGCTATCTGCCTAAGGGATAAAGTGCTTGGTAAAGGACTTCATACAAGAAACTGGCTGGTATTCATGTATACATGCATACTTAAGCAAACAAACCCTTTACGGCATTCAAATACAGGTCAAACTACCAACGTTTAATGATCTTACCCACTCAGCAAATATTAAACCAGTGTAATAAAATTACAAAATTAAAAACAAAATCTGAAAGGTTTCAGATTTTAAATTACGTCCAAATGGGCGTTTTTTTAACGTTTTGTGTGTTACCTTTATTTATTAAATATCATGTTCTTCGCACTTAAACCATAAAATTTAATTCAAGAGCAATATCACAAAATATTTAAAAGAAGCATATCTCTAGCGTTTCCGATACACAGTCTCTCGCGTTGGAGATAAAAAAGGTTTTCAAAAATTTGTTAAAGTTTTACAAAATATGAAATCGATAATAAAACAAATTCCAAATTAGGGCTGCCAGATGCCCATATTCGGTGAAAGATTACGTTATTCAAAATCTGATGGCTCTAGGTACCGTTGTTTTATCACAATACGAGAAACATACATACATTTATGACAATTCTTCATTATGTAATTTCTTTAAATATAACACAGGGCGATAATAGTTGGTGGCAACAATTTGAAAAGTGAAACAACGCAGAAAGTGAATCGACGCAAAATGCCAAAACGCAATTAAAAGTCCTTCTGGGCAAATTGCCCCTTTGAACTAACAATGAAAATTTGTAGTTCAAATAATTGAACAATTGGTAGTTCAAATAATTTAATTGTTTGAAAAAATAATATTTTTCGTTGAAACGAATATTTGAAGTCGATTTTTGCTTTAATTTAAATATTAATTTAGCAATTAAACGAGCATACGAAGGCAGATTTTCGAATCTTACCTCGCTGATGAGCAGTGTGTGAACGTTGCCACTGGAAGATATCCTAAAGTCTGGAGAATTTTCGATTGGGTTTCCATTTCGGTACCATTTAATTTCTGGCGTTGGAACTCCAGTCACTTCTGCTTCTAATGTGACTCTACTACCTGATTTAACAACAGCCGCTTGCAATTTTCTTTTGAATTTAGGAGCCTCACGGTAGGCTGAAAAAAAAAAAGAATAAGCATATGAGTATATGCGAATTGAAAATATGACTTCCAACATTTAGGAAATAAAAATTATTTTATGTTAAAATTTAGTAATACATCACATGTCAGATGCAGAGGTACTTATGCATCTGTTGTTTCTATATTCACAGTTTGTTGTCGTTCAGTGGGCTTTTGATTACAAAGATAATACGCAATTTATAAGTTACAAAAGATGCTCTAGGCGAGAACAGGCTGTAACGTCGTGAGATACAGCAGCCCAAACCAATATTCATTCTAAAATTTTGTAGTTGAGTGTATTATGCAGGGTGTTCGGAACAAATGCACCTATTTTGAACAGTCGATTGAAAACACAGTTTTAGTGCTACGAGGGCTAATATTGGCCACAAGATGGGAGCTGAATTCGTAGAGTTTTGGAGAAAATATTTTTTCTCGCGTCCGACGCACCTGCACTTTTGCTGAACCGAAAAACGGAAAAATGGAGTCACCGCAAGAGAATGCACAAATTGTTCCCTAAGCATGCAGAACACAAATCCGTAGTAAAAGTGGCAAATAACGTTTCAAACAGTTTATAGAAGAAATTCATCCCAGGCTAACAGCATAAAAAAGTGGCACAAAACGTTTCTCGAAACGGAAAGTGTATGGAAAAGATCCGAAGGTGATCGACGTTCACATTCTGATTCACGTGTCGAAGATGTTCGACAAGCTTTCGTTCGGAGCCCTCGTCAATCGATCAGGCAGGCAGCTTCTGAATCATCTGTGCCACGATCAACTGATGTGCTGCATCGAAATCTGAGGATGCATACATATATAGGTACATTTGATTTGGACACCCTATACTACTACATCCACTTTGAAAATGTTTGCGTATTACAGTAAAACATTTTAAAATGGGATTAAATATGTGTAATGCACATTTGTATGTCTTGTGTGTCTTGCAGCCTGTTACACGGATGGAAGTAAAATTACCTGTGTAACTTTAAAGAAAACCCTGCACGCAGTTTGGCGGGAATATTGGCACCCAGTTCTGACTTGTAGTGTTATTCTTATCATTAGCACAAATACGCATGGGCAGTTTCGGCTGATATTTCATTGCTTCTGCAATGCTTTTTATGGAAAGTTGATTTGTTCTCTGCTTTTATTGCTTAATACTGCACACGATATTGAAACAACAATGTATCTTTGCATTAATAGTACTTTTGTGTGATTGTATGAAAACACAACAGTAATTAGTTCTCCAATTAATGTTGATTTATAACTACTAATTTACAAGAGATTATATAACTAATATAAGAGACTAATATTATAAGAGATTTTATAACTAATAAAATAAAATCTACGTCAATCAACGTTTATGTCTCCTTTTTTTTAACACTCGGTCATATTTAGTATGTCTTTCTTTTAGAATACGTTCTGACTACTGTAGAGTCTGTTAAAAAATAGACTAAAAGGCGAGAATCCCTTATTTCTTATTTTATTACTTTTCTTCATTGCTGTACAATCTCATGTACAGCAATGAAGATGTACAGCAATGAATGTACAGCATGTACAGCAATGAAGATGTACAGCAATGAATGTACAGCATGTACAGCAATGAAGATTAACACATTTCAAGAACAATGAACTACCACGTGGTTCTTTCCGTGCATTTTAGACTGAAACTAAACAAGGGAGAATTACCATTATTGCAACTTTTAAATTAAACTGTAATTAAGTCCTATACGATCTCATAAAAAATCTCAAGAAGATGTGTCTTTAATAGTCTCGAACTTATGCTATGTTTTTCACCAAAACCATTTGCTCTAATTAAGCATTTTATGTTCTTTCACGTAGATCAGTTTTCAGGTTTGAACTATTTTCTGCTCTTTCGTCACGGCAGAAGTCCATTACAGATGCTTCAAGAGTTACAAAAGTTAAGATGACATCATATCCTGATTACATTCATCGAAAATAGTCGAGTATCCATCTCACAGTATAGACTACTAAATAAAAATCTTAGACTGTTTTAAATGTGCTGAGAATATTTACATTAGCATACCTCCGGGGGAAAACATTTGACATACAGATTGCTTTATAATAAAATTTGAAATATATCATGCAGTTTATTATTCATTGCAACGAAACAGACTGTGGATAATGATCATTCATCATTAAAGTATACAGCTAGAAATATACTCGACCTAAACAATTATTGTAGTATTGAACTGCTGGAGAGAATTCTACAGCAAATAAAATAATCAATTTCACTCGGTTTTATTAGAGTTAGAACAAATAGCAGAAGGCATTTTGGCATCGGGATATCTTAATGGTATGGAAAGTCAATGCTCTTCCAAAAAGGTATTACTTGTTCATTTCTTCTTTTTTTACTAAGTACCATTGTTTAATCTCCTGTATTTTGCATCTGGCTATCAGCGTCCCTTCTCGAATACGCTGTGCATATCATGCAAAACGCATATTGCTACCTAAGAATGATTAAGATTCTAAGTCAGAAATTAAGTCTCGACTAAATACGTAAGTAGTATTAAACTCAAATTACATGCAAATCAGATACTCGATCTAAAAAGAGCTGAAGAGCCAAAACACATTTTTAACAAAATTTAAAAACATTTCTAACAAAACAAAAATTTTTAAAAAATCTGAAAGGTTATGTCTAAATTACGTCCAAAGGGCCGTTTTTTTAACATTTTGTGTGTTACCTTTATTTATTAAATATCACGTTCTTCGCACTTAAACCATAAAATTCAGTTCAAGAGCAATATCGCAAAATAATTTTTAAATGAGCATATTTTTAGAACTTCCGATACACAGTCTCGCGCGCAGGAGATAATTTTTTTTTTTTTTTTTTTTTTTTTTTTTTTTTTTTTTTTCCCATACAGTGTTGCCATTGTTCGCTTTGAAATCGTTTAGTTTGCTACTAAAAAATTCGTTGAAGTTTTACAAAATATAAAACCGATAATAAAATTAATTTCAAATTCAAATTAGGGCTTCCACATGCCCATATTCTATGGAAGATTGCGTTATTCAAATTTTGATGGCTCTAGGTACCGTTATTTTGTCACAATAATGCGAGAAACATACATACATTCATGCAAATCCTTCATTGTTTAATTTCTTTAAATATAATACAGGGCGATAATATTTGGTGGCACTAATTTGAAAAGTGAAGCAACGCAAAATGCCAAAACGAAATTAATAGTCCTTCTGAGCAAATTGCCCCTTTGGACTAATAAAGAAAAAATAAAATAGAATAAAATCTGAAAGCTTTCAGATTTTATATTATGTACAAAGGTGCGTTCTTCTTTTTTTTTTTTTTTTTTTTTTTTTTTTTTTTTTTTTTTTTTCCATTCACATACACATACACATTTTAAGAGTGTTTGGGCTAATGTCCGTTTGAGCTAAAAATATTTAAAAACAGCATATCTTTAGAATTTCCGATACACAGTCTCACGCGCTAGAGATAAAAATATCCCCCCGTATAATGTTGCGACTGCTCGTTGAGCTTTTTAATCAAAAATTCGTTAAAGTTTTACATAAAAAATGAAATAGACAATATAACAAATTCCAAATTTTGGGTTCCCAGATGCTCATATTCGGGTGGAGGACTACGTTATTCGAAATTTGACGGCTCTACGTACAGTTGTTTTTTTCACAATGCAAGAAACATACACATATACACGCATATTCTTCATTATTTAATTTCCTTAAATATAACACGGGGCGATAATATTTGGTGGTAACGGTTTGAAAAGTGATACAACGCTTTTAGTGATTCAATGCAAAATGCCGTTTCTGTGCTAATAGCTCTTCTTTATTAACGACCCTTCGGGCTAATAAAACTTCATCTTCACTTACTGAATATTTATCAAAACCTACATAAACAATAATAACAACCATACAAAGGAAAATATTTCAAATTTATATTTCTTTTTTATCTGAAGTCTTTAAAGGTCGGTACCCGCAAGAAATTTTTATTGGTTATAATTTATAATTAAAACGTATTGACAGCAGAGAATTAAAATTTAGACTGACATTTATTCCAGATAATTCCAATATGTTGAATGAACTCCTAAATAATTTACTTTTGACCTTAACCGAGAATTTCAGAATACTGAAGGAACATAAGCTGTCGGTTGGAAAACTAAATTTATTGACTGTACCAATATGGGAAAATTTGTCACATTACTCTAATCACATGGCTTGACGTACAAACATATAGCGAGAAAGACAAAGCCTCGACCTATTAATTTTTTCCTTCAATAGAAGTCTTGTACCTAAGCTCAGTCTATAACTGTATGTTTCTAAAACTAAAATCACCGTATTTGTGACAAATACATAATTAAAATGCATTCGAGGGTCTTACAAATCTGTTTTAGTGTCTGAATGCAGCCTGCCTATTTGAGACCTTTGAAATAAATGAATACATATGGTTTTCAGCAACATCCATGTGTTTTCTTAAAACCAGTATTTAGTGAACAATGCTAAAACAACATAGTACTTCATTTTATGTTCCAAGTTTTAGCTAAGTTTTAACTTTTTTGCGCTTTCATTTCAAATATAGTTGTTTAATTGACTCACGTTTAACTCTGACTTCGGCAATACTGGTGGCTTTGCCTGCTGCATTAGCCGCCACGCAGGAATATTTCCCACCATCTGATTCAAAACTCTTCAAGATAAATACAGATGTTCTGTTGCTTCCGCTTGATATTTGAAGACCCGGTCGATTTTTAACTTCCACTTCGTCTTTGAACCATTGAATAGTAGGTTCGGGGACACCTAAAAGGTGGAAATAAAGAAAAGTAAATTATTTGGAAACTACAGCCTAGAAGAACTTTTTTTCACGCTTTCACATCAATAAAAAGTAAAGCATGACAAATTTCGCGTTCTGCTCATAATATGTAAAATTTAAATAATGATAAAATAGCCAGTTGGTGATTCAAAATACAGCTTAATAATTTTCAAAGAACAGAAAATAATCTATTGGAAACATACTTTTAAAGCTAATCATCATAAAAATGATATCTTGAACAGATTTTTACATTTTTTATATAGATACATAATTACAGATTTCACGGTATGTAATCTAGAACTAAACTATATGTTTCATCTTGGAATCTATAAATCGTTATCGTATCGAAGCGATAGCTGCCATCGTATTCTGAAGTATATATCATTGATATGTTGCAGATGTTTGCATTAATGATTATAAATATATTACGATGGTTAAATTCACAGATCACTCATTCTATCTCAAAACTGCTTTCCAGGAATTTATATCACGAGACTGTGGAATTCAGCAAGTGAAGTGTTCCTCGATACACTTCATAATACCACAATTTTGTTATGGACCGAAGAAAGACCGTTACAGAAATCCTCCTTTGTCAAAAAGATACTTGTTAAGTCACGAAGGGCTAAGATGATAGGACAATTTCCCGTACTACAGCATACTAGTCAACGACTGGTTCAAATACCGCTATCTAGCACTACAGATTACCGGATAATCTTCAGAAAGAGACCCCATGTCCATTGCCATCAGACTAGTCTTCATACTTTTTTAGAGGTGGGTTGTCGTAAAATGAAAACAACGATATTATTTTCTATCGTTTAGTCAGCTGAAAGAAGGCTCGTAATAATAAAATTCTCAGTTCTGTTCTTATCCCCCATTCCAGATAAGAATCTACTCCAGGTAAGAACTCTTGAGCTATCTACAGTATGCTCTGCAAGTATATGCATTATTCAAACAAAAAGGTCTTGAAATTTTGCGCTAAAGAAAGTACGCATAATTTGTGTTAAAAAAGAGAACAAAAATCCTTTACTGCCCGTTATTGCTAGTCAAGAAATAATTATTTTGCTTTTTTATGAAGCAAAAATTATTTGAAATACCTTCTGCTTACGAGTTCTTGAAGATGTTTCATGTCTATAAATATCTTTCGATTCTCGTTAATGATCTCACTTCTAGTTCTTTCTTTAATATCAGCTTTTATTAGTTGTTTTTTTCCCCATTTTTCGGTAGACAGATGTTCATTGTTCGGTAGACAGATGGCATTAGGAGCTTCGTTTTCTACCCCTTGGTTAAAAAAATTCTCGGATTTCTCTCTATTGTTCTGAGGAAGGCCCATCCCCCCCTACATTTCCATTAGTGCAGTTGAGAGAAAAGTCTGCTATTGACAAGTGAAACTTTGCTACTTTAAATTTGTCCCCGCTATCTTCATTCGTGTTGCTTATTATTAATTGCTTTAGCAAAAGTAAGCCATTAGTAATGAGATCACTGACAAATAGCTATCAAAAACATTCAGCGCTGTCTTAACGTGAGGCTAGAGAAGACTGCAACTCATTTCGAGCATATAATAAGCAGCATATAATAAGCATATAATAAGCAGCATAAGTAAGGGAACGTAAATTATCAGAATTTTATGAATCCATAATATGAATCACTCTTGTACAATTTCTCGAAACACTGAACCGTATTGGTGAAACTTGATGAACTGTAAACATCATTGCCGGCAAGAATATAAATGGTTTAGTAAGTTACTTATGCAAAAATGGGATAAAATGGGTTATGAACAATAATATGTTTCACTGAACCTTTATCAAACAAAAAGACCTAAACTGCATCTCTGCACACTTACAGAAATAATGTACATATATCTAAATTAGGGAATCTGAAAAATAAATACCTTCGTACTGCGCCTCTAACAAAAGTTTCTCGCCTTCTGTGACAATAGCCGTCGATACAGGTTTAGTGAATTTGGGAGGTTTGCTTGGGGGTTGTTCTATGATGGGTGTCTGTTCCATTTTTACCAGCTGTTGGCTTTGAAGAGATGAAAAGACTGGGAATGTTGGAGGTTGGAAATCCATCTCATCCACCTATACATAAAATTGCAGTTCATACTTTTATGTATGACGCTTTAAAATTATATTTTTAGTATTCAAAATATTATTAAACCATTCTTAATAATGGAAAACTAAAATAATGAATGACTAAATAACTGACACGTAACATTATAAAAAACATAGAATTATAAAAAATTAAAAGTCATTATAATTTTAACAAATTTGTATGGATTTCGTTTTCCGGAACTCAATTTCAAATTTTAATTGAATATAACAAATCTAGTTAAAACGAATACACATGCTTTTCATGTACTCATAAATTCAGTGGAATCTGGAATCTGAGAAATACATTAGTTAGAAAATACATTTAATATTTTCATTTAGCTGACTATCTGATCTTAACCTACCTTACGTTAAATGAGTTTAGAAGATTCGCCTTTTAAGGCAATTAGAGCGAAATATTTTTTGACTTAAAGTTTACTTTACAATACAGAGTTTTATGTATCATGCAATTTACTGAACATTATACAGAATGTTACGAGTACAGTACGGATACATTGCTACTGATCCTTAATGTGTACGGCTGAAAGACAGTAGGTTTCAAAATACTTTAAACATTAAAATTTGTACGGCTTTACTTTATTTTTTGAAAGTAATGTAAAGCTTTACATTAATTCTTCATTTTCCTACCTACGCTTGCCTAAAGCTTGTTAGTTTACGGCCGTGCTTATTACGTGCTGTTACTCTAAGCCGGTGATTATCAGATAAGAACGAACTACGCAGTAACAACTCTGTGCAGCTTAGGTTATTTATTCTACTTCATTAGTTTAATTTTATATTTTCGGTTTAAGTTCAAGCCAAAAGTGCTGGCTTTCTGTACGCCCAAGAGGGGCCATCAGTGAATACTTGATTTCAAATAAAAGAGCATTTCTACCCTTCTTCGGAGCTGTTATTTAGCAATAAGAACTTAGCGAATAGTCGCAAATCAGTTCTACTAGGTTCTAGCAGTTAAAGAAATTTATCTCAGCTAAAACACTACAACTTAGTTATTGGATAGCAAAAAACATTGCAATAATTATGCCATTGGGATTTTGCTTTTTCTTCTTTGAAGAGAAAGAAAGGCTCTACAGCAACTGACAAAGCGGCAGTGATACTCGTGGAAAGTTTAGTAACTATGGTATTCTTCAGAAATATACTAAAGTCTGCCGTTACAATGTATTCCTTTATTTCATTACATATCACTTTATAACAAACAAAAGCATCCTTTATTTGCTTACAACAAACTTCGAAAGCATGTGCCGCATTTATCCTATCATACCGAAATTGCAACAGCGAAAATTCAAAATTCAGTTGAACAAAATTCAGAATTCAATAAATGGCTGCATGGAAAATGCATCGCTTTCTTAAGCTGATTTTAGACTGCAACATCCGAGACACAACAAGTACCTTTTCCTAGAAACATGCTCTCTAAGTATCAATTTGAAAAATAGATTCTAACACGCAACGTTTTACTCGGAGATCTAAAATATTTCTTCAGGCAAATAAACCAATCAGCAGCTAGGTAAAAGATAATAGAGTCAACTTCTGCAGGTGAGAATAAAAGAATTCTATTTCATGTCCGACTCGAGCTAATGATTAAAGACGCCAACTTAGCTACGTAAACAAAATTGCTGGGAAAGTTTTGTTCGACGGAAGTTAAGTAAATTTACCTTGTAGTGTAGCTGCTGCTTTAAAGCAGCTTATCTGGAGAATGGTATAGCTGCAACAATCCCAAGAATTCTGCTTTATGTAATTCATTACCACTTTCAGTTGATAACTTAACTAGGATGCCATTAAAATCCGTTATCCCTCACGACGACAAAAAGAGTTTGGCCATTTCGTACTGGCCTTTTGAGCGACTGAGCTACGGCTACACCTCGTAATGCAGACACCAGTGCGGAGGTGTACACAAATCTGCCGCTTCTCGTTATAGATTACTTTTATTAAAATTTAAATAAGAAATATTAAAAATTTAAGTATATTAAAATATTGTTTCACACAAATTTCATGATTCAATAGTTATGGAAATAAAAATCAATGTCTTCCATTTAGATAAGTAATCTAAGATTCACAGAAAATTAGCATAAAAAGGAAAACTTCAGACAAAATGTTAATTCTCGACAATGCTGAGCTTGCGTTGCTTTATTTTGCTAAAATATATCATCATCATCTTCACATAACAAAAGTTCAGTATTATACACTAAAAATTTAAAATTCGTATCCTTGAACAATTTATTTATTCTTCTGCGCTTTATTTAAATTTAATGTGTGTAAGTTATATTTTACATGTATGCATGCAAGTTAATTTTTACATTTTTACACTTAACTTTGTAAGATAAAAATGCAATTCAATTTTAAATAACACGATTGTTTATTTTTTCATTCAAAGAAATGACTGTGGAATTCTCAGCTGAGTTATTTCAGGATAAATAGTTACGTACGGTAAAAGTAATTTAAATTACTTACATGGTCTATGGTGCTACTTATCGTACTCTTCTCCACAACTGTTTTTCGAGTCATAACCATAGATTGAGCTCTAATAACAAAAAAAGGGAGAATGAGAAATTATGCATCTAAATATACATAAATATTTTTTAAATATACAATAATCGGCCCCTCACCAAAACCGCAACACTACTTACAACTAAACGCATTTCTTGTAGTGTTTCTCATAAATCAAAAAGATGCATTTTCGCTCAAATGCTTAGAAAAGGCTTTTCATGTTTAAAGTCGTAATTTAGTTCCTCAAAACCTTCTCTTTCATACTTTTTCTCGAAACAACTGGTTTAGAGGTTCTGGTTTCGTATGGTGTCAATAATATATACATTTTTGTTATTTTAAGAGCAGGACAAGCGTCATATTCTGCCAAGACGTGTAAACCGTTTTTATTACACAAAGTTAATGCAAGAAAAAGAACAAACCGAAGAAGAAGCTATTCATTATTAAACTATTCCGTATTAAAGAAACTTTTAAAACTATAAACTATTAAAGAAACTTTAATGAACAACAAGAATCGGCGTGACGTCAGTAATCTGATGGAAAATGGAGAATTAGATTTCCTGAAGGCGTTTCATATCCATTACAATTTTTCGCCTCTGATTAATTATCCCCCTTTAAATCCTTGTTTACCCTCGGCTTTTCAAGAATTTATTTGATAGTTGCTTTTACTACATCAGCGACTTTCTACCATTTACAGCCTTCTCAAAATTTTACTTATTGTCCTAGTAACGGCACATCCCTATCTGACATCCTTTTTACTTTCGCAGTCAAAGAGAAAAATTCTATTTAACCTTCGAAGCTAAAGTCTCGCACATTTACTCACATTACGTCGATTTTTGTAGTTGATTATTATTTTATTCAGCATTTAAAGTTAATATACCTAAGAAAGAATGTTGTTTCATCTTAAAGTCCGGGTAGATACCTGATTTATATAACATCAAATCTAATATTAGAAAATAAGAGCTAAAATTATCTGCTATTCATATATCGTAAACTCTTCTAAATTTTTTATACTATATAATTAAAAAAAAAAGAATATGTATTTTTTTTTTCAAAAACTCACATGTTTTCTTCATACGCCGAATCAATTTCTGGCAGCGAGGCTTCTGTAAAACAAATAAATAACCATTAAATTAAAGTTTGTAATATGAATTTGCTTTGTAATATGCATAATTGTAATGCGAAATTTATGTTATTAATATTAGCTTGTAGCAGGGAGATGAAAAGGCAATGATAGGAACTACATCACTTTCGTAATAAGGAATCTCTAACGCTGTGTATGGCTGTATGAGGGAAAAAAAGCATAAATTTTACATCTCAGAAACATGTCTTTTTCACACGACTGAATGTACAAATAGCATCGATTATTTCCTCCCCAAACAGCCTATTCTGTTGTTATGTTGTTTATTTATCTGAAACATTTGTTGATTAAGATCACTTTTCCTACATTTCCCCTCAACTTATGTATGATGTTCCCTGCGCAAGATGATATCAGCGAACATACATAAAATAGTAAAGCTAGAATAAAAAGAATATTTTTGAAAGCAGCACAAAACATGATTTAGATTTCAACGTTAACGATTAATGAGTACTTGTTTAAACTCACCTATCTTGTTGCTCCATTTAACTAGTACACCATGGCCTCAAAAAAATTCAAATATATTCAAATAAGCCGATGAAAATTTCTTTTTTCTGATGGACAGTGAATTATTTTACTGCGATTGATAACGTATCCACGCTCTGAGTCTAATATTTAGTTTTACTTGTCCTATGTTCATTTCCTCTTTGATTTTAAGTTACTCATTACGAAAATTAGTTAGAAGAAAGATTAACTTCTCAAGGCTATAAGTTACAAGTTTAAGTTACATTGCATATGTGTTGTAAAAAGCTAGATTTGGATTGTGACGTGCTTTTTGTTATTGTCAAAACCTCATGTGATGCATAAATAAAAGTCGGGTTTAATATACATTATTTGTTTTGTTTAAATTTGCGCCGTAATTAAAGTTCATCTAAGGCAATAATTTTCAGAATGCATTAAGAACTGATTTAGAAGCAAAGGAGGAGTTAATGTGGCTTAACAAAACCGTAAATTAAATGAAAATGATTCTTTTTTGGCGCTTCCTTAATCGTAACACCAGCAATTCAAAACGCATGCTGCACACATTGCATTGAAAATTAACAGTCATTTTGATCTAAACGTAAGTTTGGTGTATCTTTTAAAGACATTAATAAAACATTTCAAATACTTTTAAAAATGCTTGTTCAGGGCAAACATGTAAAGGCAATGTGTTGATATGATTTGATTTAAAAGTAAGGCCCTACTCACCTGGACAAATCAGTGTTTAACCACAAAAACTTATAGAGACTTGTCCATACAACAATAAAAGAAAGCCAGCCATGCTCCTCATACATAATGCAGAAATTATAAAGTGGTTATCCAAAATTTAATCTATGTAGTAATTTTAGAAACCATGGTGCAGGAATAAAATAACAAAAAAGGTTGGAATTAAAATAAACAAAAATAATGCATGAAATAAATTTAAATGGATAACTCTTTACCTATTAGATATAACCATGTAACATATATAAAACAATAATCATTATTAACTGAAAATAACTAGTATTAACTAAGCTTATAAAACAAAATTTTTCACTCATACCTAAGTTTCTATTATATCTCTATAGTTATTAATTATTTTCATTTCTAGAGAAAGGCAAAAGTTTTTTTAGTTTTAAGACTATCTTCATTAAGACATACCCGAAAATACAGAAACTTATTTTTACCTTCAACAGACAAATATGCGGAAGTTGTAGCGATGCCGGCGTTGTTTTCAGCAATTGCTGAGTACCTCCCAGTGTGATTTTTTGATACATCGCGAATAACCAGCCAGTACTTCTTTTCCCCATCAGTACCCACATTATAATGTTCATCCTTTGGAACACCTTTTCCTTGGAAATTCCACCGAACCTGTAAATAAAATGCAAAAGAAACGAAAGTTTGATGGGAGTTAAAAATTATATTTAGAAAATTAAAAAAATTACGATCGTACGAAATCGTACGAAATTCAATTAAAAAAATGAAGACGGATATTTTTAAGTTTCATATATTCATTTTCTGGTTGATTGTTTTATTTCTGCATTTGTTACATTACATTTCACGTAGAATAACTAGTAAATATTTTAACGATTTCATCTAAACACAAATGTGCAAGAATTCGAATTAGATACAAGAAAAGTAAGCAAAACTTTAATTAAATATTACAAAGAAATCGAATTATATATTTAATAAAATTAGGTTAAAAAACACGTTTGGCTAAAATATTACAAAAGGAGACATCACAGAAAGTTTAACCACAAAACGAAGCCAAAATTACTACGAAGCCAAAATGCTACGAAGCCAAAATTAACTACAAGACTTAGCCAGTTTACTCATGATATGTCAATTCCTGTTGCTAAACATTAGTTTTTTTTAGCAAAGCATAGATTAGCATATGTTTCAAAGGAACAAAATTGTCTTGCTTCTGAAAAAAAGAAATTCCATTGAAATCGTTCGTTTCAAAGGAACAAAATTTCCTTGCTTATGAAGAAAAGAAAATCCATTGAAATCGTTCAAGTTTTGCTTAAAACTTACACTCATGCAGTGCTTCTTTTTCATGTAATTTTACTTTTCAGATTGGCATATGTCTCTTTCCTAAAGATATTTAGTAGTTTTTATATCAATGTTAATTTGCAGAAAACCTACCTAAAATGCTTTTAAAACTGATCTACCAGTAAATCAATACAAACATAAGTTTTACAAAATACTTATTTCATTTATTATATATCATGGGATAACTTGCTGAGTACCTCCCAGTGCTTCCAAAAAAATGCTTCTTCTAAAAAAATGTCATTACAGTATCGATCGCGTTTACAAATCATTTCGATGTAATACCAAAATATTGGCATACTTTTCCTGACATTGCATTAATTATCTATCTTGCCATAATTTCTTGAATGCAACATGAATTAGAAGTTATTAAAAAGTTCAGCTTTTATATTCATTATCTATAAATAATTTTTAAATCTTCAGTACGCCCATTTGTACTAAAAACTAAAGAGGAAACATTGGGAAAAATTAAAAAGAAATGGAACAGAAACAGAGAAGACTAACTGTTTTAAGTACTGAAAAGCTGCAATAAAACATAAGGGGCGGCTAATAATGGCATGTCAGCATCAAATGGCTTAAATCATGCCCACTTGAGATATCATGTGGACATCAGGAAGGACTATCGCTATCTGCGAAAGGCTCAAGCTGTTTTCAAAATGCTATTTAAATATGGAATGTTCTCACGATTACCTTAAAATAAAAATCATTAATCTTAAAATACATGCAAGAGGTCATTGAATGGGCTCCATATATGTGAAAAGGGACAGCAAGCAAATGCGAAAAAAGAAGTATTAGACTGCAAGGGTTGGGGAGTAATCCCTGAAGATTTTGTAACACTGATTAAGGAATAAATTAATGGATTTTCAAAAACCTCATTTGAAATTATATGTGCATATATGAATGCGATCACAGCATATCTGTCGCTTGATCACTGTGAGTTACTGCCGTCTTTTGATGAATTTTATAAATATTTTTTAAATAATATCTGTAAACAGAATTTTAATCTTTATTTGAACAATTATTATTATATCAGCGCAATCCGTGACATTATACCCCAGTAGTCATAATAATATACTTGGCACATGTACGTATTTTAACTACTTTGAAAGTTTTATAGGATTCACCTGAAATAAAAAGAAGCTTTAAAATAAATTGATGCATGAAAAGTTTCTTTACCGTAGGTTTGGGGCTACCTTCAACAATTGTTTCAAATCGTGCAGTAGCACCAGGTTGAAGTACTTGGTTTTCTATATGCTGCATGAAGACTGGAGGGGTTTCTTGAGATATTTGTCTAAATTTCATAGGAACTGTTTCAGGAGACACTGATAATGTACAGATACTTTGAGCTTCTCCAGCTTTGTTCTGCGCTTTCACAGAATAAGTGCCACGATCACTGATCTTCGCCATAGGAATGGTTAGTTTGGAAAGTCCACAGCTTTCAGTCTGAATCTAGAATATAAAAAACATAGATCAGTACTACACGAGAAATCCACTAATGTACAGCAGATCTATGAAAGAAAATACGCCACGATAGTACTTGAGCGGAGCGTAAACGAACAATTTTGTATAAGTTGTACAACTTACGAGGGAAGGCAAGACGAATCCCCAATGTGACTTCTTATATTGGTGGTCGATATTTTTTTACAGTAATTAAAATTAATTTGACCCAGTAAATATCATAATTCATATTTGCTTACGGACTGCAACAATATTGCACCAGATTTCATCTTTCAATAAATATTGTCTCTAAAAGTGAAACTTGGTGTTTCATTTATAATCCTACGACATTTATTTTTAATTATTATTTATAAGTAATTTAAATTCGGCCATTGCGGGTTTTTATCATGGAACAAGTGATGCAGCTAAACTAAGTCACAAAGAAAGAGGAAATACGGAAAAGAGTCTATCTTCCCCCCCCCCGGGGGGCGACGTAGAGAAGAACTCTACGAAGCTACTGGCTAGGATCTGTACCTAGGCAGTCTCGGCCACGGGGGTATAAAATTTATGAACTTGGTGGTTAAGGCCCTGGGTTTTCCAGGGCCTTCAGGGTCACTTATTGGCCGGCCTTGGGGTCAGACAAGTACTAACGTGATACTAGTAGCCCGGGGGTTAGCGTCTCAGGGTATGCTGGGTAATGTCCCACTGCAACGGGCAGCCCGAGCGACTGGTAGGTAGCAAATTAACGACCAGTGCCGTCTGGGAGATTTTCCTAGGCGGTGCGTCTCTCTCTCTGAGGGACCAGAGCGGAGGTTGAACCTCCGCACCTGGTTCTGAGGAGTGGGAGACCTGTAGTGCAATTAAGTTCGCTGAGCAGGGAATGTCCAAATTTTGTTGTAAATACATGTGAAGATACTAAGATTTTACTGTCGAAAAAGATCGACTTTCAGTTTTTACATGACAGAATATCCATTCCAATGCCGTTGACTGGTTCTTGGACTGATTACTTATAGATAATTAACTATGGCTATGGCATGCTAGACTATCTGAATACTACATGAATGATTTAAGTATCAAATTATTAATCCATTTGCTATTTAATACTTTTCATTATAATCAAGAACATTTTCGATTTATTACTTCAAACATTGTACGGAAACTATTTGTAAAACTCCCGGAAGTCATCTTTCTTCAGTTACTCAGCTGCCTTTAGACTACAGTATTGATGTTAGCTTCATCCTTGCAAATTTTACCAAACACCCTTGATTCCCAGGAAGAGCTAGAAGCTAACTGCATCCAGATATAAATAAAAATATTGGACGAGTTCTAGATTAATGACTTGACACTAGTGGAATAAATGTAACCCTGTTGAGAAATACAGAAAGTAATCGAACTGTATCAAAGCTGGTAACGAATGCGTTATTTTTCAAGGAAAAGTAATATAATCGGTTACCTAAATCATCTGTAAGGAATTAAACTGACTTTTAAAGCTCTTTTACTGTAATAAATATATATTTCTATTCACGAGTGATTTTAAACCCTGTATATAAACCGTTAAAGTTGTTTATAGAAAAGCAATTATTTTCTACGCTATTTTCAGTTTTTTTTTTTTTTTTTTTTTTTTTTTTTATTTCTTTCAGGAAACTCGTTAGATTTGCTATATTAACTCCAACAACTGATAACATAGTAATATACTCTATGAGAAACCATTTTAATTTAAATACATTAACATATTGGCAGTGATAAAGGTAATCCTCTGTGATTCTAAAGAAAAGTTTATTCAAGCTATGAGAAAAAGATTTATTTGTCGTTACCTGGTACGCGGGTGAATTCATTATTTGAAGTCCATCTTTGTACCAAGACAAAGTGGTTTCTGGACCTCCCAGCAACTGGCATTCCAGAACAACAGGCTGACCTTCCGTCACAGCCAAGCCTTCCAGTAATTTCACGAATTTGGGTGGATCCATTTTCTCGATACTTAGGAGAATATCCTTTTGACTCACGTGACTGCAAAAAAATACGTTTTTATTCCAGGGCTGAAGAAGTTTCATACTAAATGCAGTACTTCACTTAAAAATATTTCTGCTTCAAAACCATTGAGAACGCTTAATTCAAAATTACAGATAATACAAAAATTTAAAAATAAACACTTACAATGCACCTTGAAAAGACGATTCTATTTTATTATTCTCAACTGTTTCACTTTTATGTGAGAAACTTATACTACAAGCACTTTCAACAAATGACTGCAAATTATTAAGTTCAATCTGTCATTTAAGAACTAATGTTATCAATAAAAGGCTTTGTAAAACGTTTGCATTGTGTATATCTCGAAATTCTGAGGACTGGTAATTAATATAAACAGAATTTTTGATTTTTAATTTAAAACATTTTTTTTTTTTTTTAATTTTCAGTTTTGTTTCAAAAAGTGGAAAAAAATCGCCATTACATACAACAAAATTATTGTTGTTAAAAAATTTCAAAACAATGTGATAACTAAAATAATGCATCGGAAAAGCAGTCAGTTTATCTAATATTTCTTACCTAATACCTCTTAATCAGTTTATCTAATACTATCTAATACTTCTAAAAAGAAGGAAAGAAGTTTTTAAGCACTAAAATATTTTAAAACACAAATATAATAAAATAAGCTTACCTCTTCTGTACAGTTTCTACAACAGCTAAAAAATGAAAAAAAATTACTAATGACAAAACAATAATAAAACATTCGCACAATAAAATACGAAATAAGAAAACTATATATCGCAGGAAAGTATTCCCGCAATACTTATTTTAAGAAATGCCAACATGTTAAGAAAATAGTTCTGAATGTGCAGTTAAACAAGTTATGTGAGAAAAGAGAATTTGAATTTGTACTTAAAGAAATACTCGTAGATCTTTATAATCTAAAGTTGTAATATACTATTTTGTTATTAAATTGTATGACTGAAGAACTGAAACTAGAGTTAATACTAATTTTTATTTAAATTCGCATCTACATTTTAAAGCATGATATTTTGAACCTTATTTTTAGTACTTGCATGCTTCTTCTTATCAAAATATCCAACTGAAAATTAATTTTGAATTCAGTCAAACGAAATACAATTAGATACGAAGTGTTTCATTGAATATAATCAGTAATTTCTGAAATATTGTTTCGATTTTAGCAGCAATCGTTTTTCGAGATTTAAATGTTTTAGACCCGAAATAATAAAAATAATAATAAATAAACTACACAAAAAGATACATTTCTTACACATTTGAGGATTTTGCGACAAATTATGTATTCTTATATTATCACATTTTTAAGTTAAAGAATAATTTACGATCCATGTGCGACTAATAACCAACAATAGGCTTTTGATGATTGCAGTACTGAAGCTATGTGAGCTAAGAAACATAAAAGATGTACTAGAATAACCGTGAAATAGTTTAGACCAGTGGTTCCCAAAATGTGCTCGATAGAGAAATTTTGCTGGGTCCAGAAATGTTTTGAAGTATTATTTTTACTTAAATTTAATAATTAATAGTTATAGATACATTGCTAATAGTTATGTACATATTTCTTAAATGTTATTTCTTCTTTTTACTCCTCTTTTTGTTTCTTCAACAGCAAGCATGTGCGTCGCTTCAATTCTCAGCTGTATGTTTGAGGGTCAGTATAAATTTCAATAGCATGTGGGTCGCAAATTTAGACTATTAAATACTGGTACACTATAAATTACTATAAATGGTAATTAAAATTACTATTGTTAAACTATAAATGTACAACGGGCCATTTTGATTTGACAAACGAAATCTGAATGCAAGGTGTGGTTGATAATAATCTTCGAAGTGCCATGTGCTGGGGACGATACAGACGCAATTAAAAATGGACTTAATAAAATTTACACCTTTTATTCAGAAAAATGTGCATAATTTAAATTTAGATTACTTTTGTCTAGGGATGAAACCCAAAAGTCAGAGGAACATAGAATCCAGCAAGGGGTTGGAAGCACTACACTGAAGTGACAAAAGTCAAGGGATAGCAATATGCAAATATACAGATGGCAGTAGTATCGCGTAGAAAATGTATAAATGCGAAGTGCTTTGGCAGGGCTTTCATTTGTGTTCAAGTTATTCATGTGAAGAGGCTTTGACGTGATTATGGCCGCACGACGAGAATTAACAGACTTTGAACGCGGAATGGTAGTTGGAGCTAGACGCATGGGTCATTCCATTTCGGATATCGTTAGGGAATTCAACATTCCGAGATCCACAGTGTCAAGAATGTGCCGAGAGTATCTATTTCAGGCATAACATCCCACCATGGACAGCGCAGCGGCCAACCACCTGCACTTAACGACCGAGACCGGCGACATCTGCGTAGAGTTGTCAATGTCTGTCTGCGTAGAGTTGTCAATGTTCACAGACAAGCAACACTGCGTCAAATAACCGCAAAAATCAATGTGGGACGTACGAGGGACGTGTCCGATAGGACAGTGCGGCGAAATTTGTCTTCCTTGGGCTATGCAAGCAGAAGACCGACTCGAGTGCCTTTACTGACAGCACGACATCGCCTGCAGCGACTCTCGTGGGCTCATGAGCATATCAGTTGGTCCCTAAACGAATGGAAAACCGTGGCTTGGTCAGATGAGTCACGATTTCAGTTGGTAAGAGCTGATGGTAGGATTCGAGTGTGGCGCAGACCCCACGAAGCCATGGACCCAAGTTGTCAACAAGGCACTGTTCAAGCTGGTGGTGGTTCCATAATGGTCTGGGCTGTTTTTACATGGCATGGACTCTGTCCTCTGGTGCAACTGAACCGATCATTGACTGGGAATGGATACCTTCAGCTACTTGGAGATCACTTCCAGCCATTCATGGACTTCACGTACTCAAACAATGATGGGATTTTTATGGATGACAATGCGGAATGTCACCGGGCCACAATTGCTCGCGATTGGTTAGAAGAACATTCTGGACAATTCCAGCGAATGATCTGGCCACCTAGATCGCCCGACATGAATGCCATTGAACATTTATGGGACATCATCGAGAGGTCAGTTCATGCCCAAAACCCTGCACCGTCAACACTTTCACAATTATGGACGTCTATAGAGGTAGCATGGCTCAATATTCCTGCAGGGGACTTCCAACGACTTGTTGAGTCCATGCCACGTCGAGTTGCTGCACTTCGCCGGGCAAAAGGAGGATCGACAAAATATTAGGAGGTATCCCATGACTTTTTTCACTTCAGTGTAAAACAACTGGTTTTTGAACTTTACAAGTTCGCAGAAGAATTTTTATATCTTCAAGGTTACTCATGAAAACAATATCTGAACATGGAAATTGGACTGTCTAAAGCAATCTTGGACACCGTCTGTGTGAGATCCATTACATATACTGTAAAAACTTAGAAACTCAGCTTAGTATCACAGCCCAACCTTATCTGCAACAAAACATATTCAATAAAGGGATTAATAAAAGAAAAAAAATTAAGGAAGCACCTCTGTTTCCAAATTTGTTCTACAATGCTCTAACACTGTATATCCTAGGACGTTTCGAAATTTTTCTCTTATCGATGCAACAGATTCTAACGCTGACAGGATCTCCTGTTATTCCCTGTATAATTTAATCTCCCCTTTTGAAAATCTTACCTCCTATTGGTAGCACTTCTTACGTTACATGAGTGATTTTAATTTGTAGAAAAGGTAAATTAGATATAGGTTACTTACGTTCTACTTTTAGTTGACAAACACTGGAAGCTTCTCCACCTGAATTAATCGCGACACATTTATAAGTGCCAGAATCTTCTAAATAAGCCATCTTGATGATAAGAGTGCAACGATCTCCTTCGAACAGCAGTTGGAAATCATCAGATTCTTTGACAGGTTTTCCATTGTGGTACCATATAACCTGAAACAAGGGAGAAAAGGTAATAAGAAAAGGGACAGTTTTCTTATGAATACACTAATTTTTAAAAAGTAGTTAAATTTAAGTACTTCAATACCATCAAACTCAAAAAAGAATATAACAGATTTTTTTTAAATACGCCTTAGGTATTTGAAACTGTATTTGATTCCAAGTGTATTTTTTCCCCTTTATGTAGCTTTTTACGCTGTGTGCGGCTTTTATTCGCATGGGTATTTTTCTGTGCACAATCGAGATACTGCGGTTTCTTCAGTTGGATTTTGCTAGTAAACAGCCTCCGCTTTATGTTTTGCGTTACATTTGATAACACTGCATAACATGATCAATAAATTATTAATTAAAATACCAGCGCCTAAAATTACAATAATATGTATTCTTCCCCAACAACACAAATAATGATGATGACTTCGCATTAATTATGTTCTCATACTTGTAACAAATTACGCACTTCCAACAATCTAAATGCTCTAAGATGCAAGCTATATGCATATGTTTCTTCCATTGAAATTTTATCGCTTCATCTCTATAAATGGTTATTGCGATCTTGAGGAAGAATAACTTTTTTCATTTTTTATATAAAATTTCAGTTTTTTGAAGCAAGTACAGAAATTTTAAATGGGAGTACTTTTCTTAATATGACAGATATATGTGTGAGCCTTTAATTACTTCCATATCTTGACCAACATACTCCGCGTAATAGATTTCAAAACAGAAATTCCCTTGGTTATCAACTCTCGCATACTAGTAGGTAGGAGGGGATGCATGTTTTAGTTGCGTGAATGCTTGGAATAACAGACAGTACAATTTGTAATATCTCGAGTTTAACTATATACTTTGTTTTGCACTGGTATTACATGACGTCACAAAATGAAATACTCACATTAATTTTTCATTAAGTAAAAAATTTTGATATTTCTGCATTTCCACAATCAGGTTGCATTTCTCTATCATCATCGTGACGTGTATGTTGTGAAACCCTAACAATCATACAATTATTTATAAACATATTGTAGTTAACAGGAAAACTCCAGTAAAGTAGCGAATCTATAAAAAGTAGATCTTGCTAAATTCACCTACACTGAAAAAAAATCAAAGCTAGCAAGGAAATACTACTATTCTTTCTGGAAGTCGTCAGAAATATTTAGTAAATTGAGATTGATTATTTGATTATGGCAAAGTGATATAAGAGAAATAATAATTTCATGGAGTATTTTCCCAGGAAAATTGGCTCTTGTTCACAGTGAAAACCACGGAAATTCCCAAGTAGCCAGTTTATTCACCAGTTGAAATAGAATCAAACTACCAATGTTCAGTGGATTTATCTAGTCGATCACTGGAGGTAAAAATATTTAATCATTTACGATGTAGTTCAATTTCTTCCCTCTCTAAATTAAGATTTAATCGATTATACAGAAATATCTACATAAAATATAAAACATATGATATATATAAAATGTGTAATCTATATCTATATCTATATATATATATATATATATAAAACGGAAGTTGGAAAGATTTATCAAAATTGAAAAATTCATTTATTGCTTAAATCATTCTGCAAAGCAAAAGTTGAGAAATGTAAAAACCGAATACGTGTCGAATAAATCAAACATACTTCCGGCTCCGGTTGGCCAACAATCACGCAATCCATGCGCACTTTATTCCCTTCAAAAACAGTTTGGTTTTCCAATTGTTGTTTCACCTGCGGCTTAGCTGGTTCAATATCAGATGCAATTTCAGAGTCACTGAAAAGAAAAATTTTTCAGTTAGGATATTATTTTAGAAAGACTGAGCATGTTATGTTACTTCCTTACACATTTTAACTGTGCAAGGAAGTAACAGAGCGTTTTAATTAAGACCAATTGATTACAAAAACAAAAACTAGACTAAGACCAACAAACTACAGTTTAAAATGCAGCCACGAAATATTCTAAATTTTACAAAGGACAGATTTATTGACTCATATTTACTAAAATGTATCAAAGCAAACTAACAATCTGTCTGAGAGGACGGATAATTGCCCATGCGGTCAATCCACTCTTGGGCATCTGGATCCAAGTCAACTATTAGCGTTCAGCGGTCTTATCTACTCGGCTGATGGCAGCTCTCCAATCGCAGGGAACATGATTAAAAATTGTAGTTTAACGTTAATAGGTGATATAGAAAAAAACTTCGAAATTCTTTTAAAGATACTGTTAGTTGCCACAAAACCAAACATCTTAACAGCTCAATCACGTGTTTAGATATGAAATAAAAATTTAAGCAGCAAAAAAATATTAAGCATTTGAATTTTACTAGCTTTGATGATTTTACGGTCTGATGACTTTTGTCTGTCATATTTCCTCTAATTAATGGAATTATTTTCTTTCATATTTCCGCTTGTTTACTGTATTCGTTCTCTGCTATTTCACTCAGTATCCATTCACTGCTGTATTAGTTCATCGCGTTTGGGGTGGATTTACTGTATATATATTAATAACAGATGGTAGACAAGCATATTAATTTAAAACTAAAGAAAATTTAACCTTCAGATTTACAGAAACGTCTTTTAGATTCTTAAGAGTAAGATTTAATTTATGAAGTTTCGAGGAGCTAGAAAAACACCTTATGTTGGGTTCTCTCAAAAGAGACAGCTTTTCCATACATTAAAACAATGTAAAGATAACTTTTGCATAAACTCAATAAAAAATGGATTTTATTTTCATTTAAGTACGGATCAACAGCAAACTAAAATTACCACCATGAAGGTTATTACCCCATTACTATTAGCTATAATGTAAATGACAATAGGAACTAACTACTCAAAAATCCTTAAAAAATTGTTAATCATTTTAAAAAACGATACTGACAAGATGTTTTTTTTCGTACTGCCGACAAAACTAATGCATGTGAGATAAAGCTACCATGATGAAATTTGTAATATATGTGAACAGTCTGATACTGTAAAAGGTTGTAATGTCCAACAAGAGTTTTATATAAAACGTTTAATTTACTAAAATTTCCCCTTGGCATGCAAAAAATTACTGGAAATTTTATTGTTTGATTTTATCGAGACGTTGCTCACAAAACTGACTTGCAAATTAGCCAAGGAATATAAACAATAACTAAATGTAAACGAATTTTATACTTCTCTAACCACAGAAGAGCTCTCTCTACAAAGAGAGGCAGCAGATATTCTATAAAAATTGCGTAAATTAAGTTGTGTCACTTACGACGTCTCCAATGGCAATCTTCCTTTGACAGACACATTACAGGAAGATACAGCTTCACCAGCTTTATTTCGTGCTATGATCGTGTAAGTACCAGCATCTTTTGGAAAGGCTTCTGTGATAACAAGAGTAGCATTGCGACCATCAAAGTGGAACTAAAATTAAGTGGATAATTAATAATTAAATATCTCGTCTATACATACATTTATTACCACAAAAATTATTTAATTATTTATATTTTAGAACTAAATTCTGCTTTAAATAATTAAATTCAACTAAATGCGATTTTAGCGTGACAAGAAAATCCTTCAATGCACACTTCTCAAATGAAGTTTTATCCGTATTATATTATATCTTTTTATATTATAACCTCTAGATTTAATTTCACTGTGAAGCACATTCATTTGCAATCTTTCTAAGGAATCTATCTATCTAAGGAATCTATCAAAGGAAATTCAGTTCAAATTCGCTAAAAGACAAATTAAACCCAAAATGTTCTCAAATGAAAATAAGATATTATGCATCATTCATTTTATGCATATAACAAAAGATTACTGCAAAGGAAACTTCAACTTAAAGACATATACAGGATGTTCGAAAAATGAAGTAGCAAGGCTTTAGTTCCTAATTACTGATCCCAAATATTACAACATTTCTCAGAGGCACAGAATTTTGGCCCTACTTGCGATACGTTTGCTGCTCAGTGCCTGTCGTCAGCAAACGAAAAAGAAACATACACGAAAATAATCACCGCGTGTTGTCACCGTAACTACAAGATTAAGTTTAATTTTTGCAAGGAACTCGACCTGGTGAAAGTATATATGCAATAAATCACCAACTCTTTGCAAATTTATAGCACACGTTATTCTTACATTCTGTACTGCTGATATTCATGTCATACTTGAGTTTCCACTCTGCTAGTTACGCAGATACTTGAAGGTGTATTTTAGTTTCAGTAACTTAAACAGAGAAAATAAGCTAAAAAAGCTAAACATTTTAGTTGAACTTTGTTTTAATTTATAATAATTTAGTCAGTGAATTATGAAATATAGCTCGAGCTACAGAAACCTATTCACTTAGTTGTAGCTAATAATATATATTAGAAATTAAATAAAAGATAGAACTTGGTAAATTATTGTTATAAAAATAATTTTATATACTTTTATTATAGAACAACATCATTCTATATAGTTTAAGTACGTTTGCTTTAAATCACTGTAGCTGAAGTCGTTACACTCGCTCCAAAATGATTCTCATTCAGAGATTCGCTTTTTGAATAATAATTCATACATTCGTAGTAGATAAAACATGGATTACTTTCATGCAACACAATGTTTAACCGTGCTTACTTTTATAAAATATTTACGTTTCTTAACTGGATCCAATATGTTCTTAGGGATTTTTTTATTCCTGGATGTACGAGGGCCATCCAGGAAGTAGATTACGTTTCCGTCTGTGTCCGCTAGGGGCGGGGCTAGCGCGGCCATCTTGGGGTCAGAGCGTTGCGCAGCTCAGTCTGCATCTAGCCGTGCTAGTGAGAGGTTCGTGCTGTGCTCCGTTCAGATACTGTGACGGTTTGAAATGTCTGCGTTAATTGAAAATCCCGCGAGCTGCGAGGTGCGCTCAGTAATAAGGTTTCTGACTGCAAAAAACTGTAAACCGATAGAAATCTATCGGCAGCTTCGTGAAGTGTATGGGGACAACATTATCACTGAAGGTGGAGTGCGTCAGTGGGTCATAAGATTTCAAAATGGCCGAACCAATGTTCACGACGAAGATCGAAGTGGGAGACCCAGCATAGTGACCGCCGAACTTCTCGAAAAAGTCGATGCTAAAGTCCGTGAAAATCGAAATTTCACAATAACGGAACTTTCTTTGAGTTTTCCACAAATTTCGCGAAGTTTGTTGCACGAAATCATCAGCGAAAAGCTTGGTTACCACAAGTTTTGTGCAAGATGGATTCCAAAAATCTTGACAGAGGACCACAAAAATCAGCGAATGGCTGCAGCGTTGAACTTTTTGGACGCTTACCATAAGGATGGTGACTCTTTACTCGATCGCATCGTTACTGGTGACGAAACATGGGTGAAACATGTGAACTGTGAAACGAAATTGCAATCAATGCAGTGGGGGCACACAAGTTCTCCCCAAAAAACCCAAGAAATGCATGCAAACAATGTCGGCAAGGAAGATGATGGCGACTGTTTTTTGGGACAGAAAAGGTGTAATTTTGGTGGACTTCCTGGAAAGAGGCACTACAATAAACTCTCAAAGGTATTGCCAAACTCTCCAAAAACTCAGAAGAGCAATTCAAAACAAGCGCAGAGGAATGTTGAGCTCTAAGATCTTGTTGATTCACGACAACGCCCGGCCCCACACGGCAAATGTCACTCGTAAAGTTCTTGAATCTTTTAAGTGGGAGTTGTTTCCTCATCCGCCGTACAGTCCCGACCTGGCACCGAGCGACTTCCACCTATTCCCAGCAATGAAGAAGTGGCTGGCTATGCAGCGTTTTGATGACGACGCACAGCTGCAAGAAGAGGTAACGAAGTGGTTGAAGGCGCAGGCGGCCGAATTTTTCGACGAAGGAATTTCCAAGCTCGTACATCGCTACGATAAATGCCTTAATTTGTATGGTGACTATGTAGAAAAGTAGTATTTGAGTGTGGCTTTCATCTGTATATAATAAAATTTGTTTCCTATACTTTGTTTATTTTTTTATTCCAAAACGTAATCTACTTCTGGATAGCCCTCCATCGAAGAGGATAATTCGGAGTCACGCGGAAATCGAACTCTAAATAAATATATCATCTTCAAAATCACTACACACATCTTCAAGAATCATATGCAAATTTCAGGAAGTAAGCAGATGACAGCAATGGTACGTCAGAATGACGAGAGCGTAAGAGAGTGATATATAACGCATACAGGCAAAGAAGTAAAATTGTTCGCAGGCGCTTTATAAGCATTTCAGTGCGATAACCGAATAGTTATGACACAAAGGACGCATTTGGATGATTTTTTACGTGGTAGAATTATCGGCCGTCTGGAATGTGGGCGTACCCAACTGGAAGTATCAGGCGAACTTGGAATTGCCCAGAGTGTCATCTCCAGGCTTTGGCGACGATTCCAAGATGATGGTAATGTGAGTAGACGTTACAGCACAGGTCGCCCCAGAGTTACAACGCCGAATGAGGACCGGTATTTGGCAGTTACTGCCAAAGAAACAGGCGGAACACAGCCTCAGACCTGTCTCGTCAGCTCTCTTCAGCCACTGGTACGACAATTTCAAGGCAGACCGTGTACAGACGCTTAGGGCAGATTGGTCTATACGCTCGTAGACCTGTCAGATGCGTTCCACTTACTGCAACTCACTGTCGCCTGCGGTTAGCCTGGAGTAGAGGGCATGCATTGTGGGCACCGCAACAGTGGGCTTGTGTGATGTTTTCCGACGAGTCGAGGTTTAGCTTGCAGTTTGATTCTCGCCGGACTTTCATATGGAGAGCTCCAAGTACCCGTTACCACCAAGAAAACATCATTGAACGACACCCTTACGGTGGTGCAGGAATGCTCGTTTGGGGTGGAATTATTCAGATTTCCAGAACTGACCAGCATGTTCAAATTGGAACCATGACAAGCCAAATCTATCGGGACGTCATTCTGGAACAACATGTACGTTTGTTTCGGGGCGCCATGGGCGCACAATTTGTGTTTATGGATGACAACGCTCTTCCTCATCGTGCAAACATCGTAAGCGAATGCCTTCAATCGGAGGATATCACCCGTACGGACTAGCCAGCATTCTCACCGGACTTGAATCCAGTAGAGCACGTGTGGGACATGCTTGGCCGACGAGTTGCAGCCCGTCAACCTCCTCCTACATGTCTACCGGAACTTCGGAGAGCATTGCTTTTTGAGTGGTGTAATATCCCCCAGGATCAGATGGATAATTTGATACTCAGCATGCCTGGGTGTTGTACGGACCGTATTGCATCGTCTGGGACACATACAATGTATTAACAATCATACCAACTATGTAATATTGGTTTTTTGTAAAAAGGTTTTTTTTTTTTTTTTTTTTGTAATTTGCTCTAGGTAGAAAAAAATCGCTAATTTTTTTTTTTTTTTAATAATATCAAAAAAATAGCATCTTTTTTTTTTTTTTTTTTTTTTCTCTCTTTACCTTTTGTTTAATAAATAAGCTTTACAAATAAGTCAAATTTGTTTTGCTTCTAATTCTTCCTTTGCCTGATTTTGCATTATCCTTAATTTATGGACATGAGTGTAGTTGATCAGTTAAAAATTTAAATTAGCATTTAAATTCGAAACCTTTTATAGATAAGGCTAATGAGTCTACTTATTGGAGCACATAAAATAACGATCCTAGATCAAGAATTGCTGATTAAATTCCAGGAAATATTTCTGATAATATAAAAAACTACTATATTTTGGCAAGAAGGAAAACGAAATTTCAAAAGAAATAACGACTAGTTCAATTTAATAAATTTAAGTATAGATTTCATTGCAGATGTAATAAACAGTATTTTCATGAGACAGAATTAATAGACAATTGCTTTTACCTGCTTATGAATGATAATTATGTAACGAATACTACACTATGAATTCTATATTATAAACAATATAATGTAATTTTAATAAATAACTTTTAATAAATGAATATCTATTTTTTTAATATTTCTTTATTTACTAAAACCTGTCTAAATTTCAAATATATAAGCATACATGTTTATTTACTGACTCCATTTAATTATTCCCAGGATCTCGGGATTCTCATAAATACTGGAAAGAATTGCATAATTAATTCACTCTAACTGCCATATTTACTATATTTTACAGCACCCACCTTTGTGTCTCTCGTCTCTTTTATGGATTTAGAATTATGGAGCCATGTGATTTGGGGCTGTGGCTCTCCAGAAATTGTACATTCCAGTCGAAGTTTCTGCCCTGCACGTGCCATAACATTTGAAAGCGGGACGATAAAGCAAGGGCGTTCGGAGGGCGCAGAAGCTGCAAAGAAAGGGAAGTCATTCTTTTTATAAACATCATTAATAAAGATGTTGCTGTAATCTGAAAAGAAGTTCTCTTGAAAAAAATCGAATACTGATTTTATCATAATATTGCTTCAACATACTATTTTCTTTAGTAGAAGCTTTCAAAAATTATACTTACTTGTGACTTTCAAATTAGCGCTACAAGCCACTTGCCCAACTTGATTCACAGCACGGCATGTGTATCTTCCTTGGTGATCAGGACTTGTTTCTTCAATCTTCAGAGTGCAAAATCCATTATTGTACGTAATGGAATAATCTGTAGAATAGTCGATGCACACATCATCCTTAAACCAGGACACGAGAGGCAAAGGATTGCCAAATACTTGACACTCCATGACTAGGGGTTCTCTTTCAGACACAACGGTATCAAGAGGTTCTTGGACAAAGTGAGGTGGAATAAGTTCATTCTGAGGACGAGATTCTGCAAAGGAAAAGAAAACCAAATTCAGTGTTACTGTCTAACTACTATCACAATATTGAAATTAACCGTAAGAATGGAGAAGACCACCAAAAATTATACTATAATTGTTAGTGGAATAAGATATATTTCAAAAGAAGTACTTTAACAGAAGACGTATGAAGTAGAACAAGTTTATAATGGTTTTAAAGTAATATAGAGATAATGCTGGCTCCTTCTCATTCCTCAATTGCCCTTTTGTGACAAATACAATGCTATCCAGGAATCTATTGCAATAACAACAGTACTATGTGATTTGTAACTTATTAACTAAATTTATAGTTTCTTTACGTTGAAACTAATTGTAACCTTTGCATTACCTTAATTGTAACCTCAAAATCTGTGATCCAGATATTGCATAGATATTTGGCATCTAAATGTCATTCGTTCTTTGGAGAGAAGAAACTGATTTCAAATTTAAAACAATTAAGTTGCAACTTGAAGATTTCCTTAATTCTGCATAAGATACAATAATGTTAACTTAAAATAAAGTTATCAAAATAAAATAGAATTTTAAAAAGGATTAAATATGAATTAACTCTAATTATTCATAATTCCAAATATTTTGATCACTTATTTTTGAGATTGCATAAATTTAAATTTCCTGTTTAACTATAAACATGTTTTTAATTTTGTTTTCTATTGATTTGAGAAATAAAAGTTTTTTCTAAATATGAAATAGTACAGTACACTGTTTTTAAGAAATATTACATTAATTTAAGTAAATGTGTGATTCATGTTTATTGGTTACCAAATTGAAAAAAATAACTCGTTTAAGATAGTAAACAAGACACCTATATTCATCTCATTCAATAAAATAATACATTACCATATATAAATATCATCCACTAAATATTATTTGGAAAATATGTAGCTTTACAAACATCAAGAGAAAAACAATTATGCAACATAGCATAGGATGAACACTCATTATATAACCATAACAAATGTTTCTTTTCTAAAAACAAACTAAAAAAAGATGACCAGTATCCGGTTTTCTTTAATTAGTTAAATAGTAACAGATTATGAATTTAAATTTATGTAAATTAAAGTAATTTCTCTGCATAGTGTAGTTTCTTTGTGCATACATTAAGAAAAAAATTTTAGTAAAGTAAAAATAAATACAATAGTATTGCTTTTAATATTAGGCATTACTTAAAATAAACATTAATTTCATTGTTTTATTCCATCTGAACTACAAATAAGTTTGCATGTTAAGTAAATAAAAATAATTACTTAGAAAATAATAGTAGTTTGCTTTGCTCTTTCTTTAAATAAAATATAATAAATATAAAAAATACAATCCTATTAATCGCAATATCTAATAATTCCGAGGAGTTATAGTCTCAGTTAATCCAAAACTTGGAGTTCTATTATATTTAATATAATAAAAAACTAAATTGTTTTATTGTTGGTTACTTTACAAGAAGTTTTACTTGATTTTGAAAATACTGTCAAAGATTAAAAAAAATAATTTTAATGTACAACTGTAATATGGCCTACCTTAAAACGAACAGCTAACTGAAAGGCATATTGAATTATTTTTCTTTTTCAAACGATACGTGACAAAAAAGAAGAATTTAACTCAGTACTCATAAATGATGTACAAAAAAAGTACCTTTTACGGATAAGTAACTCTGGGTTTCCGCAACGCCAAGAGGATTCGTGGCTTTACATACAAATTTCGCTGTGTCTTCGGAAAACGTTTCTTCAATAGTTAGTTTACATATTCCTCTCTCCATTGAAGTTTGATAATCAGGATTATTCTCCACTAAGATACCATCCTTGAACCATTGCACCTATAAAATAAGAATATAATTAGTTAATCGATTTTCAGAACTTGTTTTAACATTATATTTTTAAAACAGAAATCCTAAATTTTTTTTAGTATTAATTGCAATCTGTGTACTTTATGACTTGACTAAACAATTTAAGTTAAATGTAGGCAATGCGTAATGCTAGAGCCCAGAGTGTCTGAGAATAAATGATAAGATTATTTGAGGTCTTTATGAAATTTGTGTAATGTGAAATGGATTGAGAGAGCTTTCATTTAATTTAGTCACTCAAAATTATCACGAACAAAATTAATAAGTATCAACAGGTGAACTGTTCTCTTTCAACTCACCGCTTCCAAATTTTACGCAATTCTCTCGTTGAGGTCGTCATGATTACCAATACTTTGGCTGAAAACACTAGTTTTAATAAAGCCTCAGAGCAGCGTTTTTCAAACCCTGGGTCGTAACCCGGGACAAGGTCACGAAAGCGAAAAGCCTGGTAGCAGATAAACTTATGAAATTATAACTTAAACTAAATTATAGCTTATCAATAGATGATTTCGATTTAGTAATTTAATGTCTTCATAGATGACACATGATACTGAAACGCATCGCTTATTTATTTATTTCTCAGTTTAGTTTTTATTTTAATGTTATATCTGCAGCGCCACGAAAACCTGATCAGACTTGAGGGCAGCAGATTGTACGGCAGCGGACATAGCTAATATTTTTGTACGAGAGCGTCGACACCGAGTCTAAAGTTTAAAGCGGTAAAATATTATTAGGGTTTACTACTGCATTTTAGTTAACTTTTGGTGACGACAAAGCATCATGCGTACTGTGAACGATTACTTGTTAGATTTTAGCTCAGGTACTGCATACATTTTTATACATATTTACTAGTAATTATAATTTTACATCAGACCTAATTATCAATGCATGAATGGTTAATTAACAAAGCAATGTGCCTGTAAAAACCGATAAACGATCAACTGATGTCCAGAGAGCTTGTAGTAAACAAACATGTCTTCAAAGCTTTGTCAAGGGGGATAATCTAGTTATGACTTCTCGTAAAATATCTCAGTTAATTGTAAAACTAGATATCCCCATACAGTTGCGGGGAAGTTAATAGTTCCTGTAATGAAAATGTTGGCATATCGTGTATGTGATAAAAATTAGCAAATCCAAATAAATGTTATCTCTTTCAAATACCACAGAGATGTTTAGAATCACGGAGAAAATAGATAATATCGTAGAAATCGTTTAGCTCACTTAAAACAGCGCAATAGTTTATTTCTTCAAATAAATGAAATTGCAGATCTATCGGACAATGCCAATTTAATTTGTTTTGTGAGATATGATTTTCAGAATGCATCTAAAGAAATGTTTCGTTTTGCAAACCACTGAACAAAAGAATAACAGCAGAACAAATTCTTAACTTGATTGATACACACATGAGTCAGAATGACACAGACTGGAAAAAATGCATGTGACTAGGCAGCAATGGTATTCGAGCAATAGCAGGCGATCTGAATTTCTTCAAAATAATTTCCAAAATAAAGCGCATGGCAGCAGAATGTGTACACTTGCACTGCAGCATAGACAGAGAAGCCTCGGCCATAAAAAAATGTCATTGTTTTTGCAAACTGCTATGCAAGAGTGCATAAAATTTACAAATTTCATAAAACATCGTCCCTAGAATATCAGGTTATTCAATGCATTATGTAAAGACATGCTAAATGAAGATAAACATCTTCTTTTACATTCAGAAATAAAATGGTTCTCTAGAGGGAATGTTTTGAAGAGACTTTTGGAAATGAGGGAAGTTTTAATGTTTTTAAACCAACGTCTCTCAAAGGCTAAAGATGTAGTACTTGAATTTAAAGACAGTTTTAGTGATGTTAATTGATTTATAAGATCTGGTCTTCTTAGGAAGCTTACAAATAGAATAGAACTCTAAAAAGATAGCTAGTGACTTTTCACTGTGTCTTATAAATACCACAGAGACAGAGAAAAGATGTAAAGAACCCTTTTACTAATCCAAATAAAGTGCAACCAACCTGTGCTTACAGAAGCCAACACGTTTCGCTTAAATCAAAGATAATGGATAAACTAAAATTCATGAAGTTTAAGTGTAGTCTAATGATGTCACAGTATAACTGGTTCTGACCAAAGTCGGCGTAAACAAGCCTAATGGCAAGAATAACTCAATACTGCAGAATTCAAATCGAGAGAATCAAAGTTAGCAATGTGGCTTTCAAGCAGTCAGAAAACGCCCTGATTTCACCCTCCAAAACCTTTCTTTAAATACCTCCTTCATTCTACCTAATTTGAGTATCGCGCGCGCTTGAAATTTATATTCTGGCAGGGAAATGAAACGAGGTTTGATAGGAAACTAACTTAGCTTAAAATAACTGGTTAGAAAATTAAAATGAAACTTTATATAATGATGAAATTATCTTATTTTTGTGACACTTTTTAAAAATAACTTAAATCTTTCTTTACAATGTAACTGTTTTTAAAATGGAAGAAAATATAGAAACTACCATGGAAAAGCTAAGTTTATGGACCCTTCGTGTGGAAGCAGGAAATTATAATGCTTTTATGAAACAAAAATCTGCACTAATTATCATGATCAGAATATTATAGCATTGTTATTGTTATTACTATTATGCTGCACTGAGGCATCATTCCAACAAATGTTATCAGTTTGAAGACTTCCTTGAAAACAACTTCTGTGGCTGACGCAGCTAAAGGTTCAGTGGCGTTTATTCATAAGTAACTATGAACTTTCTGTGGTAATTAAGTGAATGAGGTTACGCATCTAAGCTGTGCTAACAAGGATCTATAAAATTCCAATACATAACGACAGAGAGTTATAGTTCTAAATTACGAAGAAATTCAGATAGTGTTACGGTTCTAGTTACAAAGACCTTGCAACCAAATGTTGAACATACTAAAAGATCTGTCATTTCAATGAAAACAATAAAGCTATTACACACCCGAGGCATAGGCTCTCCATCAACTTCACATTCGAACGTGAATTTAACTCCTTCGGCCACTTCAGAATCACGTAATTCTTTGATAAAGCGAGGTGGCTTCTGCTGAGGTTTAGGAGGGATAGCTTTGGCGGCAGCTGCAGCCAGCTGAGCAGCTTCTTGGGCTGCTGCTGCCGCTGCTTTTGCAGCTTCTGCTTCAGCTTGAGCAGCGTGAAGAACAGCATTCATTTCCTCCTATAAGATAAGAATGTTTTTAAATAACTTTCTTTTTTAAATACTCGAAAACGTTAGTTAAAAGCGGAAAGTACTATTTTCCATCTTTTGAAAGGATAATAAACAAATTACTTCTTAAGAGACGTCAATCTGCCAAGAGACAGCGCCAAAAAAATTAATTAGAAAGCTAATGCTCCAATGCATGATATTATAAGGTATTTCAATTATAAAGTATTTCCTTCTTAGCATGCCTTCGTGTTGTAGTGGTCAGCACGCTCGATGCGTATTCCAGGAGTCCGTGGTTCGAGTCCCGGAGAGGGCATTGCTCATTTTTCATCTCCCCTGCTTCCGAAAATTCCTAATGCCTCTACGGTGGCTCCCAAACTAAAAAAGGTAGTGGATGATGATTCTCCACCACCAGAATTTGGTGAATGGGTACCCTAATCCCCAGTCGCCCTTTAAAAGGGGGAGTATATAAAGTATTTCTCCTGCCTTCTTCGCATGCCTTCGTGGTGTAGTGCTCAGCACGCTCGACGCGTATTCGAGAGGTCCGTGGTTCGAATCCCGACGAGGGCATTGCTCATTTTTCATCTCTCCTGCTTTAAAAAAAAAAAAAAAAAAAAAAAAAAAAAAACTAAAGTCTTTACAACATAATGAACTACGTTACACAAGATTAAATAAGAAATTTATACACATTTCTAGTTTAGAAATTTTATTTATAATGGCCAATTTTATTCATAAATGATATTCTGAAATACTGCAGGAATAGTAATAAGTTTAGATAATTTTTAAGTAATATAATGAGATATTGAATTTGATTCCAGACAAGAACTGTTAAAATCTCATTAATTATTTTAAATTTAGAATCTCAATGAGCTTTAAATGAAAAAAGATTTGCATAAACAATTAGATTGCTTTAAATGAAGAAAGCTTTGCATGGGTGCTAATATTTCATCCAATGTTCTGGAACAAAAATAAGATGTAATAACAGAAAAATGTATTTAAATTTTTAACAGTGGTGATAATTAATAAAAGGGAACTATAAGGGAGAAATAAAAGGGAGAAAGTAACAGAACTTTAATCTCACTTATTAATGTTAATTATTGTTAATTATTCTCGCCTTTCAAATGAAAACTCATATAGGAAGATGAAATGCAGTTTTCTTACCTTTCCTTTCTCTTTAACAATCTTCGTTTGTTCAGCTATTTTAATATTACTGGATAGAGTGTTAAGTTCTGTCGTGATAACACCAAATGAATCTATCATGTCTTTATTCTTGTTTGTCACCATAAAAGTGGACTCACGAGGTCGATCACCTGAAGTGATATAATGCACGGGGAAGAAATGAGAACATAATTAAAAAGCATTATTAATTATGAAAAAGCTGCGTAAAACTTATTTATCACATAGGATTTCATATGATATATTATATCACATAAGATAACTTGTGTATTAAACACATTGCTTACCATATAATTCAATCGATAGAGACGATATTTTTCTCATCCTCTCCTCTTGCTTGCTTTTGCCTTTGTTTAAGAAATCTTGAACTTCTTTCCTTAGGTTTTCGACATCACTTTCTTTCGAGCAGGAGGATGATTTCCGGGCAACCGAAATTAGCAAACGACTACCTTCTTTTAACCACTCTTCCGCCTGAAAAATTTGAAGAGAAAAAATAATGCTTATGAAATTTACATGTAGATTCACATACCTTTATTGTTTTCACGTCATTTTTATTAATAACAACAACACTTCTATCCAACTGTTTATGTGAGTATCGTTTGCTTCATTTTATTGTTGCAAACAGCGTAAATTCCTTTTGCTTTTCTTCCTTTAGTTTTGAACTTTATGTGTGGCAACAAGATAATTTGATTGATAGAATTGTGTTTGTGACAGCCATGTAGAATGGCTCGCTTATTTTGTATCAATTATTTTGCATCGCTAACAAGTGTAATTTAATAAAAGTGTAGGAATACAGTCCATTTGTTGATTGATTATAGTTTGTGAAACATATTAAGTTTAATAGAACACATATTGTTGGTCAAAAGTCTAGCCGGAGAGCTAGTGAAGATAGTGACTGTTCTAAGTGTATTCTAACAACGCAATATGCATATGGTTTGTGAAAATTATCCACTTTGTGAGGTAAGTGGATTTTGAACAAAAATTCGTTTAATTTGTTGTTAAATTTTAAGAACAATGTTGTAATACAACATAGAATTCGATTTCATTTTAATAATAGTGTTAAGTGATTTAAGAACAATTTCTGTTTTTTGAATTGATCAATTATGAGTGAACTTATAACTTTTAAAACAAAAAGAGCGGTCTTACGCAGGAGTGTGTTACTAATTATGTAAAGAAAATTGAAACTATTTTAACTGCAGATGAAATTAATTTAATAGAACTAGAGGAATGTGTCGAATTATTGAAACAAAAGAAACTGAGTTAAGGAAGCTTGATTCTGAAATCGAAAGTTTAATTACAGATACTAAAGAATTAGAAAACGAAATAGATAATGTTCAGGAGTACACAGATAAAATTTATTTGTGGAAATTTAAAGGTGAAAAAATATTAAAAAATCAAAATAATAAAAATAATTCTAATAGTGTAATTTCAGAACAGGTTCTTGACAATATTAAATTACCCAAGTTAACATTACCGACTTTTGGTGGTAATATTACAGATGGATAGCTTTTAAAGATCTTTTCAGTGCTTGTGTAAGAAATAATACAAATTTATCTAATGCTCAAAAATTGCAGTATTTGAAGGCTTCGTTGAAAGGTGAAGCATATCGCATTATTCAAACCATTCAAATTTCGGAATTGTAATTTTGAAATAGCATGGAATCTGTTAGACGAAAGATATTCAAATAAGAGAGAACAAATTTTTGCATATATTAAACGTTTTTTAAGTTTACCAACTATTCAAAATGAATCAGCATTTGCTATTTTAAATTTAGTTGACAATATTAATGAAGTAAGTAATTCGTTCTTTAGAAGTATTGAATCAAACCATTGATAATTTTGGTGACACTTTAATGACTTATTTAATTTTGCAAAAATTAGACCCTTCTACAAAATTATGGTGGGAACGTCAGTTAAAATCTGTAATGAAATTCCAAAACTTACGACTTTAATTGAATTCCTAAAAAACTATGCAAGAACACTTCAAAATAGCAAATCAACAAGTAATAAGGTACCTAAATCTGTGTTTCAAAATAAGAATAATGTTCTGGTTGCTACTTTGGGTTGTGGTTATTGTAAAGAAGGTCATCATAGTTTAGCCAAATGTTCGAAATTTCTAAATTTATCGGTTCAGCAAAGGAATAGAATTTGTAAAATCTAATCGTTACTGTTTTAATTGTTTATCTAATATGCACTTGCTCAAAAAATGCAAGAGTTTAAATACATGTCAACATTGCTTTAAGAAGCATCACAGTATTTTGCACATTGTAAATAATTCAAAGAATAAAACTCAGTTAAACAGTATATCTCCGCCTACGCAATCTATCATTAAAAGAGATGAATTAACGAGTCCTAAGGACGTTTCAGCCACAGTTTGTGCCTCTCATTATGATTCGAATGCAAAAGATAATCAAACCAGTCACATTTTATTGTGTACTGCTTTAATAAAAGTTCAAAATTCTGAACAACAGTTTGTGAAGTGTAGATGTTTATGTGACACTGGATCTCAGAGATCATTTATTTCAAGGGATTGTGTGAAGAAATTAGGATTACGAGTGAAAGATAATTCCATTTCTGTATCATGTTTAGGAGAATTTAATACTATAAGTAATGGGGAAGTCGATTTAGTATTCACTTCTCATTTTAAAAGTGATATTCGTGTATCAACATCAGCGTTTGTACTGGACAAGGTGACAGATAACATTCCCTATGTATCTTTGCCATCAATCATCTTCGATAACTTCAGTGATTTACAATTAGCTGATCCATTATTTTACAAGTCACAACCAGTTGACATTTTATTTGGAGTAAATGTATTTCTGCATTTAATGACGGGAGAAATTGTCAAACGTGGTCCTGATCTACCATTTGCTCTAAATTCGAAGTTGGGATGGATAATTTCGGGTACTACAAATTTTTGAATCTACAAATTTTGAGCCAGTATATGTAAATCATTTGAATACAACACAGATGAGTTAGTAAATTCTTTCTGGGAGTTAGAAAAGTTTCCAAATATGTACAACCTTTAACAAATGAAGAAAAACTTTGTGAAGAACATTTTAATAACTCGCAATTTTAGAGACACATCAGGTCGTTATTCAGTTGCATTACCATTTCAAACATAACAGAGATATTCTAGGTGACTCCCGTGAAAGTGGTCGCACAGAAGATTTCAATACTTGGAGAAGAGGCTGTTATCTATGAAAGAAATTTACAACCAGTATATTCAGTTTATGAAAGAGTACTTTTCACTAGAACACGTAGTAGAATTAGTGCCAGACACAGATTATGAATTAGAGAATAAACACTATTATATCCCACATCACTTCGTGTTGAAGGACTCTAGCTTAACAACCAAATTGAGAGTTGTTTTCGATGCGAGCGCTAAAACAACCACAGGTGTTTCTTTAAATGATACACTAATGATAGGCCCAAAAATACAAGATGACTTAATTTGTATTTTACTAAGATTTAGACTTCATAACATTGCAATAACCGCTGATATTAAAATGATGTACAGACAGATAAAGGTTCATGAAAAAGATAGAGATTTTCAGAGAATATTATGGAGAGATAGCCCGTATAAGCAAATACAAGTTTGTCGTTTGAAAACAGTTACATATGGAACTGCAGCTGCTCCATATCTTGCAACCAAAATTTTGAGTCAGTTAGCGATTGATGAAGGATTGAACTTTCCAAAGGCAAAGAATATAGTTTTAAAAGATTTTTATGTTGATGATATGTTAACTGGTGTAAAAGATAGTTCGGAAGGTATTGCACTGATAGACGAATTGCAACATCTGCTAAAAAGTGGTGGCTTTGAGCTTCACAAATGGTCGACAAGTGAACCGTCATTGTTAAAACCTCTGGCTTAACAAACACAGATAGTGACAATATTCATCGTGTAATAGAAGACAAACCATTGAAAGTTCTGGGATTGGAATGGCATCTGGACAATGATGAATTCAAATGTAATGTCGGTGTAATAGAGTATCAAAGTGTTCCGACTAAAAGAATTATTTTGTCATTCGTAGCAAAACTATTCGATCCATTGGGGTGGATAGCTCCGTTTGTAATTCTCGCTAAAATGATCCTTCAGCAATTGTGGAAATTACAGTTATCATGGGATGATCCTGTAACAGAAGAGATTGATCGAAATTGAGAGAATCTATGTAGAGAAGTTAAACTTTTGAATTCTATAAATATACCTAGGAAAATTCTGCTACCTGATTATTTTCGATGTGAACTTCACGGATTTTGTGATGCGTCTGAAAGAGGTTATGCAGCAGTTATTTATATCAAAACTTGCAATAACTCTGACATTAATGTTAAACTCGTAACAGCTAAAACTCGTGTAGCACCATTAAAATCTATTACGATTCCAAGACTGGAATTATGTGCAGCAGTGTTATTGGCACGCTTCATTCAGTCTGTAAAAGCTGCATTAGTTATAAATTTTGATTTAGTGCAAGGTTGGAGTGATTCACAAATCGTGTTGTCATGGCTAAGGTCAGATCCTAAAAAATGGCAATTATTCGTATCCAATAGAGTTTCTGAAATACAATCCATCTTACCACCTGAGAACTGGAGTCATGTTGATGGAAAGGAAAATCCAGCTGAATGTGCTTCACGTGGATTATTTCCTGCAGAGCTATTATCTCATCAATTGTGGTGGAATGGTCCTTCTTGGTTAAAGTGCAGTGAGATTGCCTTATCTAAAAATATTCTTATAGATGAAGAGGCATTACCAGATGCACGAAAACAGTCTCATTTGTAGTTTCTGAACATGTACAGGAACTTGCTATTATATCAAATATATCTTCATTCCCAAAGTTACAACGCATATCTGCTTGGATATTAAGATTCATATCGAATTCTAAAGTAGCATATCTAGAAAGAAATACGTCTTTTTTATCTAGTAATGAAATTCGAGCTGCAACTTTCTGTCCGAATAATACAGCGATTTCACTTTTTAAAGAAATTCAATGTTTGGAGTTGGGAAAGGACTTACCTACATACAGCAACCTCCTTAGCTTGTGTCCAATTTTAGATGACAACAAAGTGTTACGTGTAGGAGGAAGACTGAAAAATGCGCAACTATCAGAAAATGAAAAACATCCAATCTTATTACCTTCAAAACACAATCTGACAGAAATCATAATTAGACACTTTCATGTCAAATATCTGCATGCAGCACCGGAACTTCTTCTATCTTTAATTAGACAGCAATTTTGGATCATAACTGCTAGATCTGCTATCCGAAAAGTAGTGAAATCTTGTATTACGTGTTGTAAACTTAGAGCTAAAACTGCAAGTCAAATAATGGCTGATCTACCGGAATCTAGAGTAACACAATCGCGACCATTTCATCGAACTGGAATAGAATTTTTGTGGACCGTTCATGATTAAACATCGTGCAGGACGTGGACAAAAATCATTTAAATATTAACGTATGCTTATTTGTGTGTTTTGTAATCAAGGCAGTACATCTTGAAGTGGTAGAAGATTTGTCAACAAAGGCATTTTTTTAAGTGCATTGAAACGATTTATTGCAAGAAGAGGGAAACCATTTGAAGATTTATAGTGACTGCGGTACTAACTTTTAAAGGTGCAGACAAAGAAATCAGAAAATGTTTTTTGCAATGTAAGCAAAATCAAGAATTCACAAATTTTTGTCTTTAGAGGAAATAAAATGGATATTCAACCCGCCATCATCTCCCCATTTTGATGGACTATGGGAATCGGCAGTAAAGTCAATGAAATTACATCTAAAAAGGACTGTTGGTGATACTGTGCTGACCTATCCGGATTTCAGACCTTGATAGCGCAGGTTGAGGCTTGTCTCAACTCTAGGCCATTGTGTCCAACATCGGCTGATCCAAATGATTTAACTGCATTAACACCTGGTCATTTCCTAATAGGAACGTCTTTAACTGCCATACCTGAACCAGACCTAAATTATAGTTCCTTCAATCACACCTTGACAGATGGCATGTGAGACAGTTTATTTTTCAGCACTTCTGGAAAAGATGGAGTCGAGAATACCTGTCTCAGCTTCACAAAGACCTAAATGGCAAAAAAGTCAAAACAATTTAGAAGTCAATGACTTAGTCCTCATCAAAGAAGACAACCTTCCGCCTCTTAAATGGAGGTTAGGGAGAATAATTGCTGTTCATCCGGGCTCAGATCAAAGAGTCAGAGTTGCTAGTATTAAAACTGGTCATGGTGTCATAAAACGACCAGTCGTGAAATTGTGTCCTCTTCCTATTCAGACTAAAAAACTATGAACTGCTTCGCATATAATATTTTGTATTATTTTTCTTATGTTTATCTTTTATTACAGACTAAGAAGTTTCAAAATGCTCCAACTGTTGAAATCCCCTGGGATTTCAACGAGGGCCAGGATGTTTATGTGAGTATCGTTTGCTTCATTTTATTGTTGCAAACAGCGTAAATTCCTTTTGCTTTTCTTCCTTTAGTTTTGAACTTTATGTGTGGCAACAAGATAATTTGATTGATAGAATTGTGTTTGTGACAGCCATGTAGAATGGCTCGCTTATTTTGTATCAATTATTTTGCATCGCTAACAAGTGTAATTTAATAAAAGTGTAGGAATACAGTCCATTTGTTGATTGATTATAGTTTGTGAAACATATTAAGTGTAAGAACACCAACACTAAGGATAAACTGCTGAAAGGCTATTTTAAATATCAATAATAACAGCATGCATGTTTTTCTAAAATGTATTGCATTAAATTTAATTTTTTACTGTCTGAGTTTTTATTCTACGTTTGAACTGTAACAAGTTAATTCACTATTTCGAAGCAACCTTTCTCCTCATGTTTTAATCTCGGATTTCTCCAAACGTATGAAAATTTAAACATTATGGAATACAGCACAGTTGACAAAGAACATGAGTTCCCAACAGAGTCAGTATTAACCCCCAGAGAGTCCATGAAATTTAAAAAGCGTCAATGATGTTCAAGAGTTTTATAGGAGGTCGACAACTTAAAATGCACGGCAACAAATCGGTATAATCAAAATCACTGTTTTCATAGATTTTTAGACATTATAACTGCTTGTAGCATTTTATAGATATTTTTAATACCGTAATGGATTTTTTTAAGCTGACAAATCTATGGCGACATAATTAATAATATAGAAAAAATACATATTCTACTTAGCTGATATGTCTTCGTTTCTTCAGCACCATGGAAATCAAATTTCAAGGAAAAATATCAATTCTACTGAAGCTAGAACGATTACCTTCAGTTTTCTCTATAAAGTTAACTTGTTTATAGCGATACAGAATCGAAAAAAAAAAATCATTACTTTGATAACTTCATGCGATCATACGTTATTGAAAAAGACGGTATTTCAGAAGATGCATTGTTATAAAGAAGTCTCCAAATATTCAAGCACCAATCTTCAAACACATGGGTACACTAAGTTTTGGAATTTAAAAGTCATTCCAGAGAAATATCCCAAAATAAAATTAGTTATCGAACTAATAACATTAGGGAAAAATTAATTCCTCTTATCAACTTGTAGGGTTTCCTTTAGTTTAATTCACGTATTATTTAAATTTGTGCTATATTTCCTGAACTCCTCAACTTCCCCTCGCATTTCCTCGCCAGGATGTAAATTTAAAGGTAAGTGAAGTTGAGTATTTAAACGGGTGAATCTTGAAGTTTACTAACAGCGTGTTTTCCCCAGCCAGCGCACGTTTCATTTCTGACCTTGCTGTTACGCTGATATGTCTTTTGGCCTTTTGAATAATTATCACGCCTGTTAGGTTATCGAGTCAGTCTAGTTAGCCATAACTTAAAAGTCCTAATCCAGCGCTTTTTGTTTTAGACATGAATTTATTTGTGTAATATCGTAATTTCAACTGCAAGTTGTCGGTGTTATTGTGAAGCACGAAGTACGTGCCTTTCTGTTCATAGTTAAAAGTAACAATGGGCTATTTTCACCCTTCTTATGTGCTGGTATTCTTTCACGCCTGTGCGAGAAGTCTCCAGGTTCATTAATAGGATCTAGATTAGTTAATGTGCTCAAAGAGAAGTAGATCCTATAACTTAGCGGAAGCAGGCTTTAGACGACTCAATAATTTACAACGGAAACAAGAAACAGGGTGAATGTTTTAGACGAGGTGATTTACGTTCAGGAATTTTGTGGTAAATATAAAAAAATACGTTGCTTTAATACATAAAGCGCAGTCATCACATTAATTAAAATAGTTTCTGATTATAGCTTATATTTGTAAAGTTTAAAATAACATGTAGAGTTCATTTATGCTAATTAACTAGTCATTCTATGATTTAGACCTTTACTGTCGCTTCTTCTTTCCGTTTCAACACCAGAACACCAATTAGCTCTCGTGTATTTAAGATGAGGCTTTTAGATTGTAAGACACAGCGCGTCGAGGCCACGTTACTAGGTTGCTAACTTAGATAAGAATTTTTATAATCTTCGGCCTTGTATTATAATTGCCGATATTGAATCTCCACGCCGGTTAGAGTTCTGAGCCAAATTTGCGTTAAATTGATTTCTGCAGCTTCCCGCTACTAGTTCACTTGAATTTAAACTTTTACATTTGACTGTAAGTTTAAGTTACATCGCCACAAGTAGTTGGGTGATGTGCATTATTCTTCTTAGTTTAAAATAAAAAGGTCTTCTGCACCGTTTTTAATTCCCAGTTGTTATTTTAGGCTTAGCAATAATTCGCTGAACATCTACCAAGAGTATGAACACGATGATTGCAAAACATACTAAACTTTGTAAATGATATAAAAAGTAATAAAACATAAACTAAATAAGTAAACGTTTTCGAAATTTACAGAAATTACTGTTCATATTCTTAGTCTAATTGTTATCATTTAACTACATATGTGCAATTATTAGTATTATAGCTATGTTGTATGTTGAATATTATACAGAAAGGGCAAAAGAGTGGTGAAAAAAAAAAGCTATTCTTTTAAAAGTTGCAAAAAAAATGGGGCTGAGGATTCTTGGCGTAGAAACATGACATTTAGCTAACAGTCTTTCGCAAGATATAAATTATATTAAAATTTTGCTGTAACTAAGTAGTCATAGTAACCAGTAAACGCCTCAGTTATTACTTCAAATCCTGCAAATTAAAAATTCAAATTCCACGAGGCTTTCGTTTTTCTCAAACTATATTCGAGTTTTGCTACCGCCAAGTGAAGAGTTTTTTTATAATTATTATTCTTAGTTTCCTTTACATCAAGCCGTAATCATCTAGATATTTAAAACGATATTTTTCTTCACTCATTTTGATACTTTTAAATTTTATAGCAGTAAAAGTATGCTTTCTACAATTTAGAGGTGGCTATTCGGAGAAGAGTTTATATTTTCGTACAAGATTTTACAACTCTTCTTAATTCCGGTGGTTTTAACAAGATTCAGAACAATGGGGCAAACGGTTTAGAAATGATGTTTATGAACTGAAAAGAATATAGAAACAGTACCTCTTCGATGGTTTTGAAATATTCTATGGCAACATCAATAAGTCGCCTGTTGTTAGTTACTTCCGTCCTGAAGGTCGACCACTTTTTCTGCATCGTCGTTATCTCTTGCCGAACGAGTGTAGAATCGACTCTTTGGTCACGTATTAACCTCTCAGCAGTACTAACAAACTCCTGAATGCGTATCTGAAGCAACTGCAAAGAAAAATCATTATTAATTATTATATTATTATTAATAATTTTATATATATATATATACGTATATATAATCCACTATTGATAATCAATTATAATACATATATTTATATACGTGATGATGTGGTAAAATTACACACATAGATGTTAAAGCACACATAGTAAATCCGGAATAAAAAAGAAACTTGGATATCATATAGATGCAATCAGACGCAGTCGTTACAGATTTAAATTTTATTGAAGCAAAAATATTAAATTTAATTGTAACAAACTGGCAATGGACGTTTAAATTGATAATTTTGCATTAAACACATCCCCGCTGCAAGGAAACGCTTTGCACCATTTTGCATCATTCTGCAGCATGTTACGCACTATTTCCCTGCAATTTATCTGCACTGCGAAATCCTTAGCCCAATCGCTACTCAGGATTAAAAGAAAAATTTTCCGGCTTATAAATACGACCGCAAATAGGCATCAATACGCATCAATCCCCCCCCATTATGCTGTGCTACTCAATATGATATGTTTTAAAAAAATAATCGTCAAGTAATAAAGATTTATTGTGATTATCCAGTGAATGTATGGTTCTTCCAAGAGTTCAAACTATTTACTATGCTACCTGCATACGTATCACATTTACTACCACTTCCACCATGATCAGTAAGTTGATTGATTTCTAGTTTTTCTCTAATCAGCTTTCCGCTAAATTCTATCAATCTAATTTGGCTGCGAGCCTCTAAATTATCACATATATATTGAGAGAGAGAGAGAGAGTTCTCACCTATTTTGTAGACTACATCATACCATTTGCAACATTTTTACAAACATAATTCTATGTCTGTATTCCAGAGTTAAAATTGTTCTCTTACTTCTAAAGTAAAATGTTAAATCATAATCCATTAATAAACACTGGTAAATATTTATATTTCTGGTTAATTCATCCTAATTATGAAAATATATTATCTGAGCATGATAACATATTCGATAATCACCAGATATTATTTGTTTAAAACTTAAAGAGCTCGGCAAAATGTGAATAATCGCAGTCTTAAATGCACAGAGATACCTGAGAAAAATATGGATTAGAAATAAATTATACGAGATGTTTATAACAAAAAGAGATATTTATAATAAAAAGGTTCTGTTATTTAAGACATATGATTTGATCCCACACAATGACTTTCAGTCCAATTGTTTACGAATAAATTACAAAATTGAATCATGTGTCTGGAGAAGAAAAAAAAATCATTACTCATTTTTAAGCTGATCTAAAGTATTTAGACGTAATTGTCGTTCATTTTATTTGAACTAGCGTATAAAGCGTTAAATTAGATTTCCAATATCCAGAATTAAAATTGAAAATACTTATTTAATTTTCTTCAAAAATCTTTCAGATATCACAAACAGGCTTCCTTTAATTCTAAATTCACTTCAATCTAATTACATAATTTCTTACAGAAGTATACATAAAATTATACAAAAATGAGAACCAGTTGAATAAATACGACTCAAAAAGTAAGAAAATTTAAGGCGATTCAAGATTAATTTTTGTAACATTTATGCTTTAGAACAAAGTCAAAAACAGACGATTTTCTAAAATTTTGAAATGTCCCCGTATTTTCAAATCCCTTTCTTTAATGCTGCACAGCCTTGATTATTTAATGTGGATACGATCAAGATGAATTTGGGTACTGATTTGTTAAAATAATCAATGCACGTATTTTAAAAATCAAATAAACTGTTTTTTCTGTAACTTTTAATTATTAAAACTAAAATGAAATTTACTTTCAAAAATCAAGTAATTTATTTTGACATTAAATTTCCTTTTTCAAGAGAAGATACACAAAATATTTTAACGCCTACACATATAATTATTGGCTTTCGCTCGTTATATAATCAGAAGCCAGTAATTTACTAAAACAACTAATCTGTATTCAATAGAAGATAACATTTTTGACATTTAGAAGCCATAATTAATACTTCACGAAACAGATTTCAAAAGGGAGTAAAAATGTACTCGGACAGGCAAAGGCACGATAAAAAATAGGAATAGTGATTACAACACCTGTTACATTTACAAGATTTAAATACAGCGATCGGAAATTTTCGAAGAATTTTGCTCACACTTATCTTTTATTTCTGGAAACTTTTTTCTGGAAAGTATCGCCAAATAAATTTTAACAATCTTAGATAACCTACTCAGTTCTTTGCGAGTAATTTTAACAATCTTAGATAACCTACTCAGTTCTTTGATACTCTCAGTCCTTTGTATAATTGAACTCTTTGTTCTTAGTTCTTTGTACAATTGTATAATCAAGGCTCTGTTGTATATTTAATCAATTATCCTGCTCGGAAAAAGCTTTCACAACAGCTTATATACCTCAATAGTCTTTTCGAATTGTAAGAAAGCTTCCGAAGTGTGCAGTGTAGCAGGCAGGCTGTCTCCTCGGCTTTCTCTTATGGATGATAGCTGGTTATTCAGATCTTCTATCTGTTGGTTTATCTGCAAATGAAAAAACAGAAATATTATATACAGTACTTGACAGACAAATTTAACCCATATTATAACTCAGCCTCAGAACTATACTTCAAATACTTATGCTTAATTATACTCAGTTAACACAATTGATATGTACCTTAACATGCCTAAGGAATTAGATCTCTCCCATGTAACTACCTGGAGATTCAGTTCTTAATATGGTTAGAACTATGACATATAATATTGTAAGGAACACAGATTTAGAATTGATATCCATCTACTTTACACCTTCAGAGACAACAGACACTAGAAGGTATATTAATTTGCATACTTCATAAGAACAGTTTATAATTAGGAAAAGTATACTAACAAGGAACAAATTGTTATTACACTCTTTCGCAAAAACATCGTAGCACCAAGAAGGAATTTTGCGATCGTCACGAAATTTGGTATGGAAAAACATCTTGATCGAAAGTTTCAAGGCAAATGAACAGGAATTGCTATCATAGCGCGCATTTCTAGTGCGATATTCGCAAAGTATAAAACCAGTAACAGAGACGGAAAATTTATATGTTTTTGTTGCTGCTATTGTCATTCCGTAAAGAAGCAACTAAAGACGTCATTACGACGCCTTACAGACAACTAAACGACTTTGAACGTGGTCGCATTGTAGGGCTACGTGCAGCTGGGTGGTCATACCGAGCAATAGGCCGCCACCTGCAGCGTACAGACACTGCTGTGCAAAGATGTTGGCAGCAATGGTTGCTACAAGGAAACTGCCGACGAAATGAAGGGTCTGGAAAGCTAAGAAGTACAAAAGCGAGGCAAGATAGGATGATTTTTCGCCAGGTCCGAACCGCCCCAATGGTATTATTGTTCTCTATTCAACGCACTACAGCCACGTCTATACCTTCTGTGGTACCGTCCACCATTTCACGGCGCTTGTTTGAGGCGGGATTACGCTCACAGAGGCCAAACGCCTTCGACAGAGGTCCAAGACGTTTGCCTTAGACCCCAAAACATCGGCGGAGTCGTCTGGAGTTGTGTCGCAGCCGATCATAATGGCTGCGATCAGACTGGCATCGTATAATGTTCAGCGATGAATCCCGCTTCACTCTTGAAGCAGATGACCACCGTGTTCGTATCTGGAGAGGACAGGGCCAGCGGTCTCAATCAGCCTTTTGTTTTGCAAAGGCATACAGCCATAACACCTCGTGTGATGGTATGGTGAGCTATTTCTTATGACAGCAGGTCATTTTAGTCATCCTCCGTACATCCTATACAGCTCAACGATATGCTGATACCATCCTGCGACCGGTTGAATTACCCTTCATGGCACGTCATCCTGGCGCCATTTTCCAACAAGATAATGCCAGGCCACATACCGCTCGCATATCTCTGGACTGTCTCCGGTCGGTTGATACTCTTTCCTGGCCAACAAGGTCACCAGACCTTTCACCAATCAAGCATGTCTGGGGCATGGTAGTCCGCCAGATTCGGGTACCACAAAATATCGCAAATCTGGAGCGACAACTGATGAATGCCTGGCAGAATGTATCGCAGGATGACATTAGGAACCTCTACCACTCCTTGCCACGAAGAATTTAAGCATGCATTGCTGTCAGCGGTGGTTCGATCAACTACTAATTTGAATACTCAATGGGTGATTGTGAGCCGTGAACAGGTACTATGACGTTGATTTTTTAATCATTTTATTATCTGCGTATGAGCTATACACCTAGTCAATTTCATCTAAAACAACCACTTCATTCATGGTGCTCCGATGTTTTTGCAAAACAGTGTATTTACAAAGGGTCTCTAAGACCAAAAACTAACATCCAAAAAACTGAAAACAATAAGACTTGAAAAATTACGTGGTAATTAGAGTAAAAAAAAAAAAAAAAAAAAAAAAAAAAAAAAGTTTAAGTTTTTATGTAGATCCAGTAAAAAGGTCAGAAATTACCCAGAACTTCTAGACACTTATCTTCTCATCTGCAGTGAAACAATTCAGTGAAATTCTATGTGTAATGTTTAACTTTAATTTATCTGTAACAGTATTCTATTCCTTATCTGAATTACAAGTTAATTTTATTATTTACTATCATTTTAACCTTGCCACATATTGTTGCGTTCTACGGGTTTGTGGATTTGGAATCACTGATGATATCACTTGATGAAGAATCAAAACACAATATATGCGACAATATTTTATAGGACAGTTCAATAGATACGTTTACAGTCGTCGAAAAAACTACGATAAACACGCTGAAACAATCAACAACACAGCTTTCAGGCTATAATGGTGAAGACAGCTTCAAGGCAAAAGCACTAAGGCACAGCCCCCCGACTCGGTCGATCACTTTCAAGCTACTCCACTTCGTAACGCAAGACACTACTCCACTACTGAGCTTAAGATACTACTTTCTTCCAGGATAGGCAAGGTATATACAGCATTAACTTACTTCGAGAACATTTCCGAGGAACGTTCTAGTATGCTCTCACTCCGTCTACGGCATATCGTCAAATGTCACCAAATTTCGCCAAAGGGCGATTTTGCGCCAGAGGACGATTTCGTGCGATTCGCCAAAGGGAGATTTCGCGCCAAATTTAGCAAACTTAACCCCGCATTGTGGGGAAACTATCTTAAAGCAGCTGGACATTTCCCAACAATATTAATTATTTATTAATCTCTAATATTTTACTCTATTTGAAGCCTTGATAGCAAGATAAGGAAAAATAATATGTAGCTAAGTAGTATTAAAATATATAAAATAACAGTACGATGAAAAATAATGGAAGCGGTATAACATTTAAAAGCTTTTTTAAATTATCTTCCCGAATAGCCACTATATTTTTTCTCTCTTTCGGCATACAGACGAATATTTTATCGCTTAAACAATATTTGTTCTAATGACTTGAGAAATATACACTATTATACTTCAACAGAATTTTTCTAGAAAAATGTATATTTCTATTTTAGAAATTTAATTCCCACAAAACTATAAATTTTTAAATCAGAACAAAACAAATTGCTTAACATAATTTAAATTTTCCAAATTGCAAAATCTTTAAAAATTTTGTTTATTGAGTGCAAAGCAATTATTAGAATGAAGCGTAAATATCGTATTTATGCAAATCAACAAAAATTTATCCTGCAAATGCTCTAATCTCAATCTGAGATATTTACTATAACTTCCTTTTTAAAACATAATTAAATGATAATTTATATGTATTTTTTATCTATAGTTATACTCGATTATTCTCCAAACTTAAATTGCAAAGTAATATTTTTTCTATGCAATAATCAACAGCAAAGTGAAGTGAAGACGCTTGAATAAAAATTTGCTATTCGTTAAACCTAGATTACAAAGTAATATTTTTTCTCCGTAATAATGAAAAACGTTTCATCGTACAAATTAGTCAACGTTTGTTATAGCCATCTTCTAAGGCAAGGCTTCTCAAACTTTTTTCAGTCGAGACCCCTTTTTATCACTGAAACTTTTTTTGCACCCCAAATATCAAATATCAAACAAAGATATAAAAATAAATATCCTCTCGTAAATAATTTACTGCTTTGGTAAACAATATACATATAAAAAGAAGTAAGCAAACAAAAATTAAAGAAAATTCTAATGAGACAAATTCGCTCTTTTTCTGCTACGTAACAAATTAAATACCGATGCGGTATTTGATACTGCTGAACACACAGCATCTTCAGCATATTTCAACATTAAACGAAATTTTGTTTTAATTACAGTTACAGATGAAAATGTAGTTTTATAAAAATATGTGGTGCTGAATGAGAGAAGAACATTTGATGCCATTTCAGAAATAATGAGAAATCTAGTTATAACTCCCATCCAGAAAGTTTGAATCGCTAGAGAGCTTTACAAATTCCTTTTGCACTTTATATTATAGTTAATTAATCTCATTAATGTCAATTAATGTAATTTCTTTAAAAGTCTTATGAATGCAGTTTATTTAATTTCAACTATCGAACTGAATTTTCGTGACCCCAAAATTTCGATTTGTTTAAGAAGACGAAAACCGATCCTATAATAAAAGGTTGTTGTATCAAATAGAAGAGAGAATTATAGCTGAAAAGTCGGGATTTTCTTACGGTTCGTTATATCACGAGCCATATAAACGCGACACTTTTAATATAAAATCATCTAAACGCCATAGTACGTGGAGAAAATTTATTACAAAATTAACAAGGAAAAATTTATTGAGCGTTTGCAGGCGAATGCTCCCAAACGTAATCTTTTTTTAATATATTTAAATTAATCCCTTTTATATGTGGCGTAATAATTCACTTAATTCAAAACGACACCGCATATTATTGCATAGGCACTTGTTTAATGTCTTTGATCTTTCCAATTTCTCTTGTATTTAACACTCCTGGAAGCCATGCACTTAGACCGCTTTGAAACACATAAATCTGCCATCAGGGATTAGATACGTTACTATTATATAGTGGATACGTTACTATTCCAGCAGATCAGCTAACTATCCAGCCGAAGGCGCAAACTGTTTGAATGGAATTGATTTATAAAACAATTGGTTTCAGAAAATCATATTATTACTGATTACTTATTGTCAATAGACATTTTGGTGTGATTAAGACATATCTTTTACATTCTTCGAAAAAGAATCCACAGAAATTGAAAGAGAATAAATTAAATTCGCTAAAGAATTCAGTAATTTATGAACTAATTTATGAATATGCAGCAGAAATGAACACATCAGTAAAAGAACCGCATAAAACAGATCAGTATGTCTCCATATCATCCCATCCAATTCCCGCATAATTAAATTTAGTTTAGACATCTAGCTTATCTAGCTTCCACACCTAACATTTTGTACCAAATTCTATCTGGGCATTCTTTTACTTTTTTAGTAAAACGAGGAAATGTTCTTACTGGGAAAGTGACAAAAAATTATGAAATATACATTTCCAGAAACCAATGAACTTATTCCTTATTTATTGCAGATAATTGCATTGTTTTGAACTTTCATATCATTCAACGAATATTCATGTAAAAACTCTCCAGGCACATGATTACTCATAACAATACACCATCGCCTTTCATAAACAGAAATCGCACATCCAAAATTTCCATACCAAGTGCATATCTCTATTGAAAATGCTCAGCTGGTGATGACGCTCCAGTCGGTTTCTGTGTTCTTCCCACGCCTTTTCGAAAGCTTTTTTTCTTGCGTCATGAATACCAATGACTTTTTCTCTGTCTTTCGCAGCTGCGTCTGCCGGTTCCTGTGAAAGGAAAAAGTTCCGAATTAGAAAGAGTTTTGTTCCTTTGCAGTAAAACATGAAATTACATATCTACATATTTAACTCATTTCCTAAACTGAAACCATGAGTCCCCGCCCAAGTCCACCATGAGTCAGGAGATACTTAATCATGAACTCTTTAAGTTACTCTTACAAGTCTGCCTACCTAGCGATGCTTCACGCAGAGCTATTCCTTTTAGGTGGTAAAGAGTTAGAGTCCCAACTATTGATCAACTTCACACACAGACAGATTAAAACTGAATAATATTTTACATAAACAATCCTGGTGGTTTCAAACCAATGTTAAAAATTGCACTACATGAAATAATCGATAATTTATCGACAAAATATTAACAAAAACTAAGGCAAACTCGCCTTTTTGATAATTGCAAGGTTACAAGAATATATTTTTTCTAAAACATTGAACATGTTGTTTCCTATCAACTAAGCACTTAAAGCTACTTACCAACTCGCACAGCAGCCGGAAATATACTGGAGGAAAAAATTATAGGAATAACTATAAAAACTCATGTAACTTGAATAATGCATTAGATTGCCCAATGGTGACAAAGTGGATTCAAGATGAACACCGTGTTCAAGCTCCTGGAGCTAAGTAAGGGTGAAGTGAAAAGTCAGTGATGAAAGTCGGGGTCTTGGGATCCACACATGTTTTAACGTATTTAAATATGAAGAATATGCCGGCTGCTCCATCTGCTGCATTACTTCGCCCTCAAGATAATCGGTCAGTAATGTAACGCGACGGGTTCGATCATTATCGTCCATTAGGAGGAAATTATTACCGCTTACACTCCTAAACTACTTGACATAAGGATAAAATATCTTATCTCTTTATATTTCAGAATATTAGGGAAAATGCACTGGTTAAAAACACGTGGGTTAGTGCGGCCATCCAAACTGATACTCGCCCACACCATTGTACCGATGTCTTTGTACCGATGTCTTTTACTACTTTCAGGCTTCCTGTGTGTGTTTTACTTCGAGGTTATTAGTAAAGAGAACTATAACCACGGTGGTCTCTGTACCACTGCAACTGGGCGCATTTCGCAACCCGAGTTATTGCGATATAAATCATATATTTCTTTGCATAAAGCCCTTTTCTTTGTAGCCTGCCACTCTTGGTATATTTAAATAGTTAAATTTCTTTAGCTGCACCGAACTCCGTTGTAATCTGGACTAGCGTTATTTGTCTACTTTGTTTAATAATCGTTGCCAAATTACAAACGTGAGGGTCTGCTGTCGCATGATTTGGACGTTGACCTGGTTGTCCGCCTACATGATCCGTGTCTTTATATCATTTCCAAGCTCTTGACATGACGCTTTTGGCTACTTTTAAGTCTATACAAACTTGTAAGAATGTCTGTTCTATGTCCATTTTCCTAATCATATGCCATTTCTTACAATCAATCAAATGCTTTCTGAAGGACATGTTCTAACTTCCGCACGGGAACGTTTTATCCAACTAATCCTGAAACCTTGGAATTAGAATCTGAAGCACCCGTTTCCACACGTAAATGAAGATCAGTGAAGATGAATCCTATCGGAATACGTGATAATGCTGACCTTAAGCTACCAAACCAACTACCTTTCATTGAACATCATTTAATAGATTTAACATAAAGCACTCTTTTATAATTGTTCCGTTAGTTTTTCCCGCCAGTGTACTATGTTCCGAACTAGCTAATGTACAATGCTGCACTAGGAACTGCTGCTAACATGCTCTAAAGTGGTACGCATGCGTTCACCTCGACAAGCTAAAAATATTCTATCTAATTTTTAAATTCTCTTTCGCGTGCTTTTAGTTTACATGACTTTCTGGCCTAAGAGAATATATGTGATGTTAACAAAAGAGAAGTTATAACAGTGTTTAACATAAGTTTCACTTTTAGTTAAAAATAATTATCATGGTCTTCTTGAAAAACTCAGCATTTTGATAGAGTTTAGACATGACTGCTTATATAGACTCCAGAATATTTACCTGTTACATGTTAAGAGGGAAAAATTTTATTGGTTATGTTCTGATGGTACATACTTAACTATTATTTGAAATTCTGCCTGAGGCAGCTTCAGCTTTACTTACAAATATTTAAAACCAGACTCTTTCAGCACTATAAAAAGATACATAATTATACAAGGGAAATTTTAAAAAATCATTTGATATGACCACTTACAGCTTCATTAATCTTCTTGACAAGTTCTTGAGCTTCAGTATAGCTGAATTTGAACAACTCCATAACTGTAGGCTTACTGTTCTGATGATCATGAACTAAAACTTCCACCTTGCTCAGTTCAGTAGGTAATGAACTCACCCTGAATTGTGACTCCTGCATGTCCACTAGTTTTTCCAGCTACATGAGATATTACATGAGCTACATAAGTATTAGCAGAGTGCAAGAAAATGAAAAACTTTCAAAAAATCTTCTAAGTAATTAATTAATTAAAAACACAAGTTATTTTATTATTTGAATAATGTATTCCATTATTTGCAAACTGTTAATTTTATTGGAAACGTGTAAGTTAGCACAAAAGTATGATTTGATATACAAGGTGTTCATTAAGCGCTAAATGTAAGTCGTTCCGTAGATTTCCCCCTACCCAAAAGGCAAAATATGTCGCAGGTTGGGACAATATGCAAAATGCTCCATAGAAAATTAGAAAGGGCGCATGTTGCTAGTCTAATCTTCTTAACCTTTTTTCGTGTTCGTGATATACATATTATATATATATGATATGCGTGTTCGTGATATACAATACATTAAGCGCTGAAAGTAAGTCGCTCCTTAAATGTCTTTGGTAAAAGGTTGGTCCAACATGCAAAATGCTCTATAGAAAATTAAATAGCGCCATTGCTGCTAGTCTAACCTTCTTAACCCTTTTTCGTGTTACGGAATAATCATTTTAAATTATCCATCGCAGATGAAAAGTCATTTGATTTTAGGATATTACGTGAATAGTTCGTTATAATCGTCCTTCGTTTTAATAATTATTGGTTTAAATATCGGTACATATAATATTAAAAATCAAAACAGCTTATGCAATGAAGATTACAATAATTCATGACGTTCATAACATATTAATTTTATAATTTAAACATTTCAAAGCATCTAAATCATTATTTCTTTATTAGAGCTCCACAGTAACTAATTAGGAAATCATGATTAATATTTCAAAAATTTAAATTCAGCTTATAAAAATTTAATTCCATACCATCTGGAGTTGGTTATTTAATAAGAATTGAATATATCCACCTAATGAATTTTAAAAATACTGAAAATTATCATATCTAAAAGTTACTGAGGCGCAGCAATTAAGTGGATTCTAGCGGAAAATTATTTTAAAGAGTTTATCCAAGGAAATATAACTTTCAAATGCCTATTTCCATGCTTAGGAAAGAGATGACTTTCTAGCATAAGAGAATATATGTGTTGGTATTATTAAACCGAAAAAATAATTACTTAAAGTGCAACCTGTGATGAGCTAGTTTCGGAACAAGTAAACTAACACAGCTATTCAACACTGAAAATGTTCAGTAGCTACAGTGTATTATATTTTATCGTATCATAATCATATTTTATCGTAACATAATATTTCAATACCTCTTCAAAATTCCGGAAGTATGCTGTCATCATGGAAACTAAGATTTGATAGTCTGTCAGTTTCTTCTGGAATCCTTGATTTACATTTTGCAGTTGCTGTAGCATTTGGCGTCCTTCATTGTGCGTATCATCTTTAGGATTAAGATTCTCGGATCTCTTCAAGAAATTATCGATTTCCCCTTGGACAGACTAGAAAAAAAAATATATTATCTTGCCATTAACATGGAAACTTACAACATACTAAAAGTTACCATATACTTCATTATTTTCAGTGCAAAGTAAAGTAATGTGCATGCATTTTTAGCTACATGTTTGTAAATCAAATTAATAAAAAATATGAAACAAACTGAGAAATTAATAATGATGAAGAGTTTTAAAAATTCAGTATCCTAAAAGGAAAACTATGGAACCTAAAAAAAAAACTAAAAAATGCATTAACATTTATTTTAAATTTTTGACTTAATTTAGATATAAAAAAATATAATAATTTTAATTCATTGTAAAATCATTAAGCTAGAAGCGTTCACGTAAGGCATTCAGTGATTTGCCGATACATTCAAAATGAAATATAATTCACTGTTACTAATGCTGTTGCAACAAATGTTATATTGTAGTATTTCAAGAAACATCCCTGCGAATAGAAAACTTTTATTACGGTAAACCAATTAATTTAACACAAAAATTTGAAATAAGTAAACATTATTAAATTTTATAAATTAAGGGAAAATTACATTAAAAAGTTAAGTAGATCTGTTACAACCACATAGCTAACGATCACACAAATGTAAATAATACCGAGAAGGAAGCAATGTACCTTGATCTGTGGTAAAAGAACTGACATACGATTTTCAAGAAAAGACAAAATGGACTCCACTCTATTTAATTCTTGAGGAATCACGGGAAACATTTTACGCTCCAGCTCATTAACACATTTTATAACCTGAAAAAGAAATCTCACATTTTAAAACAATTAAACGAGACATATAAATAACAATACATGAATACACACGCGGAAATTATGGTTGGACGCGAAATGTCTTAATACGATTTATGTATCATCTAAAACAACGGTGGCAAATAAGTAAGGAAAGCGAAAAAGGATCTGAATTAAAGTCACTGGATGCTCTTACTTAAGGCACAGTTTCAAAGGTTGTTCTACGTTATTTTTAGTAGCTTAGTACTAAATCAATCAGTTCCTATCTCAGCTTTAAGAATTATATTCCTATCAATACATCAAAGGGACGGATTCAATAAATTTATTTCTAAATGAGCCCGATCAGGATATATTTTCATTTCATTTGCAATAGAGTCTGTGTTTTTATATTCCATTAAATAAAAGATGGCCGAGTCAATGAACATAATACTATAACATTTCAAGATTAGAAGTACCCAATAAATTCTAAAAAGACCACATAAGAAAACTTCAAGCAGATGCACTTCCTAATGGGCATTGTTTATTATTATGTGAAAATCTAAAATCTAATTATTGCATACCAGCTGACCTTAAAAAAAAAAAGGAAACCTTTTAAATAAGATATGCAGTAGCAACCATCCAACTTGATACACGTTCTGTATGTACGCGAAATTTTTTATTGGGTATACGAGATTTGTTTGGAATGCTAGGCATGTTTGATGAGTCGCTCAAGTTGATGAGTCTTGGCGCACTGCACACTTGTTTACCTTTTTCGAAACAACGCCACGACTCCTCATGAGCGTTAGTAAGCCTGTTGCTAATATTCAGTAAACAAGCCGCGTTATAACTCTCAATTTTCAAATGATTTTGTATCTTTCCCACATAATTGTTTGCAAATTCATTACTAATGAGGTTTAAGAAAGTTAATGAGAAAAGTAAAACAGCAAAGAAAACTATTAGGATCACCACAAAGGTGAAAATGAAATTGTTGGAGGGATGGGGGAAGGTATGAAGATGGTATATGTATCCCGGATTTGACTACTGCCAAGTATGCTGGTGTCTATGACTGTGAAAAACAAAGATGTTATTAAATCGGAACGTTCCTAAGGAGGTAAAATCGATTAGCAAAGATCAGAGACGTTAGAGCACGTTAAAAAAATTGCTTTTTATCTATACAGCAGAAAAACATTCATGCGCAGCATCATGTGCAGTGCTTCATTTATATGCAGTATATATTTCACTCATTGCATTTGTATTTTAGCACTAAGCAGTGTTATAATAATAACAGTTTGACTTCTTTATAAGAACGGATGAATTATTTTCTCTTTACTTTTTATTGGCAAAGTTCGTTTGTTATACGTCCAAATATTTGGAACGGAGTAATTAAGTATATACTGTAAATGAGTTTAGTACCAATAACATAAACCAGTATCATTGTCACTTGCACTAAACCCTTATCACTTATGGGTATGAAAAATAGATTACGACCGATTCTCAGATCTACTGAATATACATATAAAATTTCATAAAAATCGGTCAAGCCGTTTCGGAGTATTGTTACAAACACTGTGACACGAGAATTTTATATATTAGGTTTTCTTCCATTATATTTCTTATACAATAGGACAAAAATACAAATCAGGAAATATTTTTTGTCATTACATTAGTGCTTTGAGAGATATCAATACCTAATTTAACTCTATTTGAAATACGCTTTTCTTAATTAAACATTATATTAAAGATATTCCGCACAAAAGTTCCTATTTTTAATTTTTCTGCAAATTACTTTCACATAACCAGTCTGCAATAACCTAACTGTATCACGCTATTCGCAGTCCAAATATGAGTTTATCACCGATGTTTCAAAAGACAAAAGTTTTGAACGCGTGTCTGAAACACCCTCTACCCAGGTTTCTGTTCTGATAAACAAATCTACTAAGCGCAATTCATGCTAAAGTAAATTGAAATTAACTTACTCTGTGAGAATCTTTCACAAGGTGTTCCCATTGTAGTTCGGTCTCTTTGATAGCACTTAGTTCATTTTGATAATTTAACCATTGAGTGCTAATTGAGATGTTTCTCATTTCCAAGCGATTTAAGATATCTTCCACAGTAGAAATCGGTTGAGACATATTCAGATACATATCATCCACCTACAAAAACAAGAAAATACAATATCACAAAAATTCGGCTAATATAGCTTTTCATTTTAATCACAGCTTTGAGAAATTAATGGACGTTAGAGAAGGAAGTTAAAGAAGTATTTAACTCTGTTCTTATGATAAACATAACGCACTCTTTGTCATTTCGTAACAAAATAACGCACTCAAAATTCATGATAATTAGAAATAATTTAAAAGTTCTAACATATATACTAACACACGATTGCTAGGAAAAGCAATAAATATTTTCCAATTAGCCTAGCGCTGAATAAAAGTACAATAAAATTTAACTTACTTTTCGAGCATCGTCTAGAAAATTCTTCCCATTGTTGTTTAACTGCATTATATCTTGCTTCAGGGCGATTTGTTTCTCTTCAATGCCACGGAAATTTGATTGTTTCCCAGAATCAATGGCTTGTCGTACTAACCTCTCCAGTTCATCCATTTCTTTAGAAATCTAAAAATAATAATATCCATGGATCATTCATTCAGCTATTTCCTTATTAAGTACTTACTAACTGACAATTAAACAGAATTCGTATGTGAAGTTTTATTTTGTGAATGTTAAACTAGAATGTAAGAGTAATCTTTGACACCAAAAAAAGAATAAAGTAAAAAATTACATTTATAGGAATTATACAAATAGCTAATAACAATAAACAGTTATAACTAAAAATATGTGAAATTTTGAATTTAAAAATTTAACTAAGTTAACAATTTTTTTAATTTGAACAATCAGTCATGCGCGAATAAAGGGGCGGTTTTTATTATTTCAAGATGCAATAAATGACAGATTTTTTTTTTTCATTTCCTCTAAAGTTCTCTTATCGGTGTCAACCTCAGTATGATTCAGTTATAACTATATGTGAAATTTTATATTGTTAACAATTTTTTTAATTTGAACAATCAGTCATGCGCGAATAAACGGTTTTTTTATCAAGATGCAATAAATGCAGATTTTTTTTTTCATTCCTCTAAAGTTCTCTTATGTATGAGATAGCGAGTAGCGAGTTAAAGGCTCCAATTACCGCTTGATGTTTACGCCAGCGAGTTTATTTAAGTTAGTACATCAAGGTGTGTGGTTAGTACGGCTTAGTTCTATGGAGATCAAATCTAAGCCATAGCAATCCCGCAAAAATAAAATTCCGTATATTTGATACTCCTTTCGAATAAGCTGTGAAATATCCCCACAAACCTAAATTTCCGATGTTTGTCTTTAACGGATATTTGAAGTGAACAAAATACTCTATTACCACACCAAAACCCATTTTTTTTTGGGGGGGGTCACATATTACGATTTAAAATTGAACACCTTTTAAGCTTCAAAAGCGGTAAGATCAGAAAATCCTAACATATCTGCCCCCGCACACACAAAATTTGTATTAAATTTTGTTTCCACAAGGTCCCTTGTGGAAACAAGGACCACAAGGTCCCTCAAACCTGAAATCTTTGAGCTCCCGCAACAAAAGCTTTATCGTCAGTTCACAGTTTACGCATTTAATTCGTGTTATAGCACTGCTTTACAACCAAGTTCCTACCGTGACACTGGTGATGTATTTATGCTACGGTTTGAACGCAGCGGCAGGGATCCTTGCACAAACGCATTCGCAAAGCGAGCAAAACTTTAATAAGCTATAAAATAAAGAATTATTTCTCTTACTTTGCGAAATTAAGGCTTTCCTTTGACATATTCGAGTCAATTTCAGTGTTCTTTTGAGATAGAAATAAAAGACATTCATCCTTAGTTTCGCGACGATTAAAAGTCAAACTGTTTTGCTCTTCTCTCTGATTAATGCTGATTTCCTAATTCAAAATCATCTTTCTAAATTTATGAGTTTTATAAAATGCAACTGATTCCTGTTTATTTTGGGAAAATCTTATAACACATCCAAAGAAATATTAGTAAATTAATTAAATTAAAAAGATGATCGAAATAATTTTTCATTTATTTACCTGGGATAACACCTACTTTACTTGTGTTATTCGCCAAACAAATTGCAAGACTTTACACAAAACATTTGGCATTTTGAATGCTTAAGAAAATTACAGATTTTAAACGTAGATAGCTAACATTAAAATATTGTTTACGGGGAATAAAAAAGGCATCTTTCAAGCTCGCTAATTTTTATCAGTATCTGAAGTATCATCAAGATCATCATTAGAATTACTTGCAGAATTTAAATTATTAAAATAATTTTAGCTTGGTAATCTAAGCTAAAATAGTATAAAATATAAAAATAAAAATTAAAAAAAAAAAAAAAAAATCCGAAAGCTTTCAGATTTTATACTATCCCCAAAGGGGCGTTTTTTAACGTTTTGTGAGTTAACTTTATTTACTAAATATCATGTTCTTCGCACTTAAACCATAAAATTCAGTTCAACAGCAATATCACATAATATTTCAAAGAGCAAATCTTTAGAATTTCCGATACATAGTCTCGCGCGCTGGAGATAAAGATTTTTTTTTTCCTTTTTTCGTACAGTGTTGCCATTGCTCGCTTTGAAATCGTTGAGTTTGTTTAATAAAAATTTGCTAAAGTTTTACAAAATATGGAATATACAATAAAACAAAATACAAATTCTAAATTCGAGCCTTCAAATGCCCAGATTAGAGTGAAGGACTACGTTATTCAAAATTTGATGTCTCTAGGTACCATTGTTTTATCACAGTGCGAGAAACATACATACACTCATGCAGATCATTATTTAATTTCTTTAAATATCATGCAGGGTTCTAATATTTGGTGGCAACAATTTGAAAAGAGAAAATCGTTTTATAGTGGACGACGCAAATTAATAGCCCTTTTTGGGCAAATTGCACCTTTGGGCTAATAATAACATATTTAGACCAGTAAACTAACCTAAATTAGTAAAATCGAAAACTTATTGTTTCCCGTGAAAGTCCCACAATATTTTTATCATTTCCTTCCAGTTATTAACCGCAAAAAGGAAATCCTTTTTAACTCGCCTTAGATTCAGTCACTTTCGATTTATGCATATTTATTTTATAAGGGCTGAAAATGAATCTATTTTCTCGGTCTGTAGTGAAGATCTCATAATGCCTCTCATGTTGTAGGATAGCCCATGTTTGAGAAACTTTCTGCAACTCTGAACTACTTAGGAAAAAAGACCAATTTTAATCAATTTAGGTATTAAACAGAAACAGAATTTTATCATTTAATCAGAATTGTTTCAATGGAATTCAGTAGATATAATATATTTTAGTTTACGTCACGTATTAAGAATTTATCTGTTTTTATACTTATATTCTTCTTTCATGTTTAACTCAGATGCTCATCTTAGCATTATGAAGTTGCCATCTGCCAACCTATGTATACATAAGTAAAGGAGGGAATGTATGGAATGTATAAACATTCGACAGTAAGTTTTCAGTGAATAAGCACATATTAGGGTTCCCACAACACTTTTTTTTTTTTTTTTTGAATGATGTATGTCTGTCTGTGAGTGACGAATTTTTCGTCCATAATAATTCTTACATGAAACTTCCAAAAATTTCCATTTTCCATATTTCAACCTTCTACATTCATATAGCCCATCAGCGGCCAAGCGGTAAAGCCCCTGAACACTGGTAGTTAGGTCCGAGGTTCGAATGCCGCGAACGGACTGGCTAGGCAGATAGCTGTAGTGTGTTTTGCCATAATTAAATAAGCCAAACCAACCTACATTCATACAAAAAGTTCATTAGATTTTGGGTAAATTGGATAAACGGAGGTAACCCATACTTCTTAAAGCCCATACTTTCAATAAAAAATTTTTTTATTATTTAATCCAAAAATTTTCAGTTTTAGTACTCAAGACTTTTATATCAAAGGAACCACATATTATATTTGGCTTAAAATTGGTAAACCGGATATGGTACTTTAAAAACTCTGAAAACAAATTGGTATATATATGAATTTAACAAACATTCTCTATTCGTATAAAGCAAATTTAAATTAAAATTAAAATTTTAAATTCTTATGAAACTATATATATACAGGGTGTTTCTGAATTCGACAAATTCAGAGGGATGATAGCAAACATAGGGAGGATAAAGCACTACCATAGAGCATGGAGTCGCAAGCCACATTCAATGGGTGAAAATCGCAAAAATAGGCGACGACGAAGCCATTGAGCCTGATGAAGAACGTGGCCAAACAAATACGAAGAATAGGAATACCGGGGTCGAGCAGAAACCATTTATACGAGACACCTGTGGATACACTAGAGCAGTAATGACGACTAGCCACAGTCGGAACGCACAGCTTCTTCAGTCGGCACGCGACTAAAATATCCTTAATCAAAAATTACAATAAAATGACACTATGTAATTTAAATAAGTGTTTTACTCTGTTCTTGAACATCTTACTTACTTACGCATAATGCCACTAGCATAGGGACTAAGCCTAGATATAAGATTTTCATATATCGCCATAGAAAGGACATACATATTTATTGATCCAACTTATGACGTTTCAATTGTTTGGGCCAATCATATTACTTGTTACATGGCAAAGAATACGCCAAAGTTGAAGCAGCTAATGTCTGCTAAACGAATTCAAATTTATTGGAGCCTGCCAGTGAGTTTTAATGCTTTCATTGTTAAATAGATTCCAGTTTTCAGATCTAAGCATTTTGAGGTAACTTATGAATAATTATAATTTAATATCTTAAACGGAATGTAGAAATATAATGTAAAAACATGCAATTTGATAATACAGCAAAACACGAAAGCTTAGTAGGGAAACCAAGCTTATTCACATGCGCTCATCCAAAATAAGCCCAATAAAGCCGAAAAGAAGTATATAAAATCTAAAGTTAGAAGTTTAGCAAAGAGATGGCCGGGTGAACAGATACTGCTGTCCCGGTTTTGAACGGTTTAACAGTCTTGAACCCTCACAAATGACCCCAGCGAAAGTGGCAAAATTAAACATTGATAGTGGAAGATGATTTCAAGAGACCTAGATAGAATCATTTGGAGATATTGAACACAATAGGAAAGCATTATACATTCTGTGCGGAGAAAGTATTGTGTCTCGCACATCTAGCGTCAAACGGCACTTTAATACCAACCACAAAATTGTTCCCGAACTTGATGAAGCTGAACGGAAGGTGTTTATTGAAGGTAAATTTAGGAATTATAATTACCAGAAAGTTGGTTTTTGCAATTATGTTTCTAAAACAAATCACCTAACTACGGCCAGGTTTCAAATTTCACTGTGCTTGCAAAATATGGTAAACCGTTCACCGATGGGGATTTAATCAAAGAGGTTTTGAGCACCGCTCCCCCCCCCCAAAAAAAAATAGGTTCTGTGCACGCGGCTCCAAAAAGGTTCGTCACCACAGCACTCATGGAAGTAAGAAAGGTCTTAACTTCCTACCTCCATGACTGCACTAGAGGCTCTGACAGCACGAGGGATTATCTTCTCTTCAGCAGACATCGCCAGCACGCCGGGA